AAGAATCGACGGGATATGTTTCTTGTTCTGGTAAGATATTAAGCAAGTAGGTTTCAATGTACCATTATTTTAGTGTCATATTTCTGCCGTAGGAGGGTTAATTCGTCTTTGACTAGAGGCACTTGAAGGTCCATATGCATTATAAAATTTCTGAGGAACCAAGGGGCTCCTATTATTGAACGAAATATTTTTGACTGAATGCGCTGTATAACATCGATATTTGACGCGCTGCCTTTACCCCAGAGTTAGGCCCCGTAACTCCATATGGGCTTAATCATAGTTTTATATAGCAGGACTTTATGAACAAGCTGTTATCTTGAACTTTTATTGAGCAGCCAATTCAACTTAAGGAACCTTAATTTTATTTGTGTTTTGCGGCTATGTGTTGTCTCCATGTCAATCGTCGGTCTAAATGAATACCAATATATGTAACGCTTTGGGATGCTGGTATAATAACGTTATTGAGTGCTACGGGTGGACAAGTATCTTTACTAAGTGTAAAGGTTATATGTATACTTTTTAGCTCATTTACTTGTATGCGCCACTTGGATAGTCAGTTTTGGACGTCCTTGAGTTGAGCCTGTAGTTCCTGGGAATCGGTACAAGAATTTTTATGAACGCTTGGAAGAGTAGTATCATCTCCAAACGTGGATGTTGCTCTTCTCCCTAACATTAACAGTTCAGATATAGGCGTTCCACTTATTACAGTGGTATCACAATAGGACATCATTTCAGCTCAAGTGGGCTTTTTGGGATACAAAGCCGCCATTCCAACCTAACCTAACTTTACCGACCAGGAGTTTGATGTGGATTTGAATATTAACTTACTTATTAGCTTATTAACTTATTAGGTTACTGGCGGGGTTCCTCAAGAATCAATTCTTGGACCTGCACTGTGGAATGCTATGTACGTTAATGTCCTAAAAGCAAGACTGCTAAGCAACAAGACTGCACCGATAACTTGAAAATGCAGGACTGAAACTGGTTGCTCAAAAAATGAAGCGATACTGATAACTTCAAGAAAGCAAAAGAAGATGAAACATAATTGGTGGGCAAGAAATATTATCACAAAAAGCAATAAAATACCTTGGAGTCATGATCGATGTAAGATTGAGCTTCAAACAGCATCTTACGGTAGTATGCTCTAATGCAACAATAGTACATAGTGCATTTAACCAAATCATTCCCAACATAGGTGGTCCTCAGAGCGAAAGAATGTGTCTTCTGTCTATGGTTACAGACAGATACAAAATCTGCCGCCCAAATTCATTTATAAAATGACAGCAAAGATGGGAACAGTCCTCTAAGGGATGGTGGAACTATGCATTTATTTTCAACATTAAGGAATGGAAGACAGTAGCAGCTAAATCGTGGTTGCGATACAGCGGATGAAGCGTGCTGAGCATAAAACAGGTACGGTCATTCAGCAGTAGGAAGAATATTGAACAACCCTCAATTAAAGTGGGTAGAAATACAATCTAGCACCCAACTTACATATCTCGGTGTTGCCCTAGATAATAGGTTGAGTTTCAAAACTAACCTAAACGAAATGGGAGACAAAGCCTCATGTGTTAGCAACACATTATACCGGTTAATGCCAAACATAGAAGGCCACAAAAACATCGCTAGAGTTCTTTTAGCATCAGTTTCCAAGTCGGTGATGGTATATGCTGCTCCTGTGTGGACGCATGATACAACCATAAAGTCGTATTCACGTGTAATGAAAAGTGCACATAAATTGCCAAACTTACGCATCTGCCCTGCTTACCGTATAGTATCGGACGAACTGCGGTTACGGACTGGACGTATGGTTATTGGCTGAACGTATGCCAATAGACCTTGAAGCGCTCTTGGCCAAAAACAGTTTTTTCCTGCGTTCTCGTTCTCAAAAATCAAGATGAACGCATTCGTTAATTCCAAATATAAAAGTTTGGAGTAACCGAGGATCTGGAGACTTGGGATTTCACGTAACGCAGTTCTTTTTTGTAAATTTGTAACCAACAATAAAACATAGTGGAGTGTATAGAGTAATGAATTTGGAAAAATGGATTTCAATGTGTCGATAATGAATAAAATTGATTATTTGAATGTTCCGAGAAATTTGGATTACAGGATAATAACTTATTTTAACAAGATAACGACCCAAACACACGGTAGAAGTTGTTAAGCTTTGGGTGCTTTATAATGGTCTAATGCAACTCAAAACACGACCACAATCTCCAGATTGGAATCCTATAGAACATATATGGGATTTACTGGTGTGTCGGATACGTGAATTTAATATAACTTCCAAGGAAATGCTGAAGAACGCAATAGTCGACGAATGGGGGTAAAATAAGCAGCAATGAGACCGCAAAACAGGTCAATTCAATGCCAAAGCGACTTATGGGGGTCATAAAAAGGGAAGGTTATCCGACAAGTTAATGAAAATATCACTATACTTTTTAAACTCTTGTACGCAGACTCGACAGCGTTGATTTTTTACATTTTTAATTACTACAATTACTTGTTCCTAACTAAACTGTTAGATACAAGTTTTGATAAATGAAGATAAAATGAATAAAAGTACTAATAAAAAATAGAATTGAAATAGAATTTATTTAAATACTAATTTTTTATACGTAGAAACAAATTTACTTTCTGTACGCAGAGTTTTTCTGCTGAGTGTATACAAGACGATAGATGTTGGTCCACTGTATCTACCTCTAGTTGGAAAAAAGATTTGATAAATTCATTCTGCCAAATTTACTTTTACCCGCTAATGCGAAAGACTTCAATGGTTGGCAGCGGGTATTCGCTTACAATTAATGCAGGATTCAATGTAAAATGTAATCACTACACAAACGCACAGAAGCATCAATTTTATTAATTGGCAATAGCCTCTACTGGATGTTGCAAATTCATTTTATCTACCTTGAATAAACGTCCCTCTTACCTAGTTATCCAGCTCGATCGAGCTGTTGGTAGCCAGGGAAACCGTTATTTCCTCACCATTTCGAAATAGTGTTTGGTCTAAAATACAATTTCTCTTGATAGTCCATAATCTTGTCTATAGAATTAGAACATACCCGAAGAAACACAATGTATCAATTGAAACATCACTTACGTAATTAACAACTCCCAAAGTCTGTGGCCGCCAGAGTAAAACTTCCTATAAGTTGATTTTATTTACGCGTAACCGGTTCTATCAAATAGAGGTTTTCTATCTGGCTACATAATAATTTAGCTCGAATCACCTCTCAATCGATTCATACCAGAGAACTGTAACGAGTCATAATTTCAACATTCAGAGTGCACTCGTAAAAAACCGAATATAAATGCGTATAAATGATTTCCTCACTTACTACTTATACGCATTCACATTCGCCGGAGAACTGATTCATAAGTATGTTCGTTAACGAATGCCGGTGCTAATAAATCAGCTTTACAATAATGCGTATGATTCAGAAATCATAGCATATATTCAGGTGAGTATGAATGACTCGATGACTCGGGTGAGTGCTGTGTGGAATTTTGTATAAGCGCTGTTTGTTTGCGAACTAAAAATTTCTGTTTAGTTTTATGCTTTTGGTATGTGTTGTTGTTGCTAGCATTGTAAATGCATGTGTTTTGTTTGTGTTCTTTAATACTTCTTGTGCATTAAAATATGGGCTGTTTTAGTAGGAAATTATATGCACAGTAAACAACAACAAATAAGTTTTTTTTGACTGTGACGTAATACTCATAAATGATTCATACATCATTTGCATCACTTTCGTGTCGAATGTCGGTGTTTATGAGTATCATCTAAGCAGAGTATAAATCATTATAAGTGCTGTCAGCTGTATGTATGAATCAGATGGAATCGAATATACGAAAAAGAGAATCAGAATGTATATAAATGAAACACAGGCAATGATTCGAGTGTTGAGTACTCATTGCACTTTTCTGATTCATTCTCTGACCGAAATATAACACAGGTAACTGCTGATAATTTTGAAGTAACCCCATTTATGTACTTTATGTTGATGAATATAGCTTTTAAAATTAAGATTTACTTTGCTCCAAAATAAAATACCTTCATTGCAAATAATTTTTGGTTTGTAAAATAAGTTACACACAAAGCGTTTTATTTTTGCCTCAAAGAAATATTTTTCAATTATAAAATAAAAGGCAAAATGTGCAAATTATTTGTGAGTGGGAAAGTAAAGCGCGTACAACTCGTATTTTCGAAAAATATAATATAACGCAAATTTAATTCTTTTTAAGTATTATATCAAAAGACAAAAGACATGATAAATAATTTTTTTACTAAATTAGTAACGGTTAAATTCCCGATAATGACATTTTGCGATTGATTAAAAGCTCAACATTTCGATCAGCAGGTGTTTTTGAAACTTGCTGCAATTCACATTCAATCTTCGCATTCCTTTCTTTACGCGAAACCAACTCTTCCATCTTTACTTATTTCCCTAGCTATTTATCTTTATTCCCGATCTTTAAAATGCCTCAAAGAAAATGCAAGAATAACAAGAACAATACTGGTCCAACTATTAGCACACGCTAGCCAAATAGTTACAACTTACCGTTTATAGTCCTAATGCGTGGAAAAGTTATGCTCTACATCCCATCACCTTTCCCACCTATCTAATTTTCCTATTGTATCCATAAACTTGCTCTTCAATCGTCTTATTGTACATTAGCCGATTCTTAAAATCATTCTCTCTCTTATTGTTATTTATAGTTTTTCTTTTCTGCTCACTAATCATATGCGCTTTGCCAGGCTAAGTAGAAGTTTATGGAAGAGTGTAACATCGACTTATTTTGAATATGATAGCATGCACAATCAATAACTTACACAATTTATTAATATATCATGTATATACATTTAATGAATTAAATTTTTTAACACAATGTTTAATTCAATTAAATTCAATATTTTTCAAGCATTTTATATACAAAACAAGATATATATAAATCAATGTTTATGTAAAATATAGTTTAAATGATAAAATAAAATGTAAACAGTGATTATATTTATTTTCATAACTAAGATAATAAAGTACTTAAACAAAAACCAATAAGAATTATTCCAGAACCACATATGGTAAAACAGTTAACAATTCATCGTTATATGAACGCAATTGGCACACTTCATGCCATTCCTTAAATTGCTGAAAGCGTGCACAATTGTTACCTAGTTCATCATTTACATCTTCATCTACAGCCCGAATTCCTGTATAATATTCTTTGTATGGCTGTAATCGTTGTGTATTGAACTTTTGCTGGTTTTCTGCATTTATTTTATTTTGATTACTATAACTTAAGTGAAAATCATTATTACTACTGCTATTAACTATATTGTTACTTACATTAAGCTTATTTTTACAATTCTTATAATCAATATTATACTTTACACTTAAACTATCTATACTATTATTTCTATTATTACAATTATATTCACTTAAATGATTATTATTGTTATATAAATTTTTATTTAAAACATCACAATATTCATTTGGAGGTTGAAGCTGTTTCAGCTTTTTTTGAAGTTGTGTTTCTTGTAAAATAATCGATTGACTATTTTTAATATCGAGCTCATTCTCTACATTTAAAGCATCAACAGTTTTCTCTCCTGTATCGTTATAATAAATATTATTAAATGTTGACAGAAGTCCATTGTTTTCAACTGGCAGTTCAGAGTTCATATTCTCTTGGATTGCACTTGTTGTATTTTGTGAACCACTTGCACAAACTAATTTACATTCATCCACATATTTGCATTTAATTCCTTTATTTTTTTTAGTTCTCGTATTTAAAAAACGTATATCTTCATCAGTGTCTGTTACTGTTACATCTGAATCAATGAGAGATTCTGTAATAGATTTCGAATCCGATTCAGTTTCCAATATTGCATTATTTTCCACATTATTTTTTTTTGCTGCATATAATTGTTCAACGTCACTATCAATTTCTTCAGCACAGCTGGAACTGCAACTACTTATATTAAGTATTTTTGACAACTCACCATTGCTATCGCATTCGTATAATTCAAAAGGGTGGAATAATTGATGATGCTTTTTATCTTTAAAAACATTTTGAGTTAAACGTTTGGAACCAGTTCTTAAGCATTTAATTCTCATTTTTGATTTTCGTCTTAAGCTCAATTCCTGTAACAAATTTTCATCTTTAAAATTTACTCCAACATTTTTCTTGCTAGAATTATCTATTAAATGTGTAGTTATATTTGCATACTGGTTTGTATTATGGTCGTATGCGGGATGTATTTTCCTTTCTTTCTTAAATTGTAATTCAGTTGGATTGTTATCTGTTATCTCGATTGGTACCACTGCGTTACTTGCTAAATTCACTTCACTTGGATTTTTTTTAATAGTCAAAACAATATGATTATCACCAATTGTTGTGGTTGAGGACATATGATGGTTAAATTCCATTTCTGCACTTCCACAACTTCTTGAACCTTCATCATTATTTTCAATGACAGTTACATAATTGCTAAACTCATCACTTTCATTTTTACAGATTAAAATATGATTGTCAAGTGAAGTATTAACATCATCGCTTTGACATGTATCGCTATCATATTGGAATGGCTTTTGGGAACTATCGAAATTGTTTTCGCTTAGTCTTAAATCAAGATTGTTTTTAGTTTCAACTCCATAATCACTAACACAATCAACTCCTTCGTCATTGACATTGTTATTACTTGTTTCGACTTTAATCTGTTTCTCTGTTATTATATTACCATTAACTGCAATTTTTATACGTTTAATATGTGGTCTATTGTCTTCTAATTGAATTGCTTTAATATTAGATCCTGATTTCACTTTTTTCTTTCTTTTTCGTTTAATTGTGTCCGGTGAACTTTTGCAGTCAAAGTTTGGGTGATATTGCTTCTGATCTTGGAGAATACGTTTAAATCGACGTTTTAATTTCAAATTGATTAATTGCTGTGTTTGTTTCAAACTAGAGTTACTGCAACTACTACTCCGACGACTAGATGAAATTGAACTTATTATATGATCTTTGCCACAATTTTGATTACTTTCTAGTTTACTGTTTATAGTTGGCACGTTAATATCCATTGAAGATATGTTAAATTGATTATGTTGGGGAGAAACATTAGGGTTATTACCAAAAAGTGGCGAACTTTGTCCACATGATATATCCCCTTCAAAATTCTTGACGTCAGTTGATATATTCCCTTCTTTTTGATGCTCAATGCCTATTTCATGAATTTTCGAACTGTTTAAAATATTTGAAACACTATTTGAGTGCGAATCGATAATTTGATTACCCACTTCATCAGTCTTTTTGTTTGGATCGACGTCTTCAATTAAAACGTTTTTATTAAAATTGTGTCCTATGTTTTTTTTCAGTTTCCTTTTTATATTTTGAGTTAGTTTGGAACGAAATGTACTTGCAATTCCAAGAAATGGCTTATTTATTTTCGGGGCATTTTTAATAAACGATGTGGGTTGAATTGATTCAAGATTTTTACAAAATATTATATTACTTAAATTTTTAGGTATTGGATCATTAATCAACGCACCATATTTGGGCACTACGTTTATAACATTCTCTGTGCTAATGTCATTGAATTTTTGTGATGTAACACTTTGTAACGATGGTATATCCACCTTGTCAATCGACACATCTGCATTATCCCAATTTCCATTGATATTTGCTATATAACAATTATGCAAAGCATTTATATGAAACTCTGTCACTTTTTGTGTTTGTATCTCAAAACGATTTTTCGCTTTGCATTCAGGATCTTCGAATATTTTATAGATGTTTTGTGTGAAAGTTTCATTATGTAACTCATGCACAGAGACATCGTCACAATTTTCTATAATTTGATCAGTCACTTGATTTGATATATTTTGTAAGTCTTCAAATGTTGCATCATCGCTTTCTTTCTTAACTAAATCGAAAGTAGTTGTTTCCTTTTTTATTGTTTGCAAAGGATCTTCGTCATCATCATAATCTAAATCAAATATAGATTTTTTGGGCTTTAGATCATTAGACTTATTATTTGCGATCAATTCACAATCATTTGAACTATTCACAGTTTTTCCATTCGAACCTTTCTTTGACTTTTGAGCATTATACTCTCTGTTTTCAATTTTTTTAAAAGCGACATTGTCAGCAGAATTATGTAATGTGTCAACATCACAATTAGTTTTGATTTGAGAATTGCCTTCTGGAACAATTTCTTCCACTTGACATGTACAAAATATTTTATCTGCAGCACTTTGCTGCTCAATTTCATAAATTGATAATCGAGGTGGTAATTGGTTTAATAATTCATGTAACTCTTTTTTAATTTCACTAAGAGATTTATTTTTACATTTTGTTTCTTCTCCTGAACAATTTAGTTGAGTATTGGTATTACTTTCGCCAGAATATCGAAAGTTAGAAGTTTCATTTATTGGTGGAACGCTATCTTGTGACTGATCAGTAGTTAATGTGTCGCTTCCATCAGTGTAAACGAAATCTGTTATTCAGAAATAGCGAGGTAAAAAATCAGATATATATATAAATTAAACAAAATATATCTCTTTATAATTAATTTTGTGAAAGTTTACCTGGATTACAATTGCTCAAACCATTTTCTGGTGTTAATTTTTGGTGGTCATTATTACTTCCTTCATCCAGAGTGCGGAAAGAGTTCATGGAAAATTCTAGATTTTTAAGTAGTACTTATTTTATTACAAAAAGTTATTTAAAAAGCAATTTTAAGACATAAAATTGTTTCTAAAATTAATGTTAGATTAAGTGTTATATGCATTACTATATGAAAAATAATGTTTTTATATCAGCATTAGGCATTAGGCAGTGTTAGGCTTCAGAAACAAACGATACAAAAACGAAACTAATGCTAATTATTTCAAAAATGACTATATGTACTATTAAGCGTGATTGTTGGTCATTATACATATTATTTTTTTTTTTTTAACTGGGTTTTAATAAATTTATTTTTCTATATTTTCACTATCTTTGATGATCATAGTATAAAATAGAATAAATCAGTTTTACAATATAATGTTTCGTCCATTATAACAACTGCAGTTCGTACTTGTGGCTATCATAACCGTTAAGAACTTAACAATGATTTTTCTATAAACGATGGATTCAGATATATAAACTATACCAGAATCCGTTGGAATTTTCAAAAGCAAAATATCTCAAAAATAATATAAAAATATAATTGCGTACTGTTTGAACATGGCTAGAACCACTGTAAAATGAAAACATTTGATGCTATCTGTACGGGTAAGCCCAAAACGACTGAGAGTAACGCAACGACTGTTAAATGCACGAGCTGTCAAGATGCCAACAAATCAAATTTTATAATATGTTGCAAGCATATTAAGAATAATTAATATGCTAGCAGTGAACGAAAACAAACACTTAAGTCCCGAACATAGTGTACTGTTTGTTATCTTTAATAAAAACCAATAAACGAACAGAGTTTGTGTTCGCGGACAATGTTTGGGTTCTTTTCTCGAAGGTAGTGGTTCTTTTTAATAATGTTTTCACAAAGGTAATGTTTTTTTTAACGAAGTTATCACAAACGTAGTAGTCTTTTTAGTGTTCTTTTCTGTAAGATGGTGGTCTTTTTAGTGTACTTTTCCGTAAGATAGTGATCTTTTTAGTGTCCGTCGAACAAAAAGATTTGGAGAAATAACATCACTAAATATCTGTTGGAGAGGTGAACTAATACTCAAATAAAAAGAGTTTTCAGTAACTCTGAAGATTTTAAGATCATTGTTGTTGCTTCACACGTTCTCTGTCGTAACTTGCAAGTATTTTTTTGCTACTCTGAAGGAAAAAATTACGACTACGGAATTATATTTCTTATCTGCCTTTTACTGAAAGATGGTTATAAAGTAATATAACTATTAGGCATAATTGATTAGTTTATAGTGTATAGAAATGATCGTAAGTGCTATAAAGATTGAGGCCATAATTATTAAATTATTAAAATTAAAAAATTATAAAAACAAACCGTTCGATATAAGTTATTACCTATTGCTAACCCAACCCATACCCCTACCCATGGCGTCCAGTCATTTCTGATCTGCATTGCCTGAGAAATAGTGATATATACATTTTAGTAGGTGATTTAAACTGTAGACATCAACATTAGAGCAGTTTAAGAGCTATTTACTGGGGTAATTTTCTTAAACTCCGAAAAGGGAACAGTATATGCACTTTACCAACATAAAGTGCATATACCAACGTTTACGAAAAAAAAAAATAGTTAATGAACTAAGTGAACAGAGGTTACATTCATCTATAAATTTATCAGAAAACTGGGTGATGGGACTGTTAAACCCTGTTAATGTCCAGTTACTCTTTGTATTATATAACTTACTGTCAAAAAAAACATGTAGCGCACGGTGAAAGTCAGAGAGTACGTACAATGTGGTGCAAAACTGGGCCATACTTCTAATGTCGCAATTTGCCATTATGTGTATTTAGTAATCTGCTATCACATTAACCAGTGAAATGCATTTGCGCCAAATTGTGCAAATTGTGACGACCAAAACAAAAACGCACTGCTTAAAATTTCAACAAGTTACAGATATATAGCAAAAATATAATTGTAGCCGAAAAAAATGAGATTCAAATACAACCCACGATACACCAACAACATTAATATATCTACTGCTAACGGAAAACAACTTTATTAGGCTTGATATGAAATCACTTAGCGCTAACATAGCAATACGTTGATTTACATTTGGCATATTTCAAGTTGAAAATGTTAGATTGAGTCCTAATACTTAGTGTTCATTGCTCATTTTTTTATGATAATCAAAGGTTTGTAGATAGTGCTCTTGTAGCAAATAGTTAAAATTATATATGTTTACCTTAAGAACATGTTCACCGTTGTTTACACCCTAAACTCGCAGTTTAGTTGTCTCATTCGTAAATGTTCAATAAATGAAATCAAATATTTGTACATGATGCAAAATAGCAAGACTAAAAACAAATTTCAGAAGCAAAAATAATAGTGTTGTAAATGAATTACACGAAATGGAGAAGAATTTAAAACAGACCAAACTTTTAATAACTGTATTAATATTATATTTTTACTGCATTTATAGATTTTAACAGTTAACAGTTCAAAAACTAAATAGATTGGAAAACAATTTACAAAACGATTACTTAAGATGAAATTATCTTTAATTTGGTATCCTGTTAGACCCAATCAGACATTTATATCTGGAGATAAAAAATTATAAAAAATAAAAAAAAAAATTTTAAACTCTCAATTTTGATAATCTATCTATAAAAATCTTTTTTAATATGATTCAATTATCAATTATGAAAATTGACATATGCATCGAACAAAAAATTTGAAAATAAATCAAAAACAAACTGCATTATGTTTAAACCGTTGTACGACTATAAAGAACGATGTTATATCAATAAATCCCAAATTTATTCTCTCTATTAATAATTTTAATGGTCTAGAATTTTTCAATGGAACTGTAATAGCTACTTAAATAATTACGATAATTTACAAATATTACTAAAAACAATGATGATAAAATAATTTCCCTACAAGAAACTCACTTTCTGTTACCCTCTAACCTATTCAAACCCAAAAATAAAAAAAATGTATGCTTACAACTCTGCACAAAGATCATCAGGAGGTGTCACACTACAAGTACATGAATCTATACAACTCTTTTTTGACTCAGTCGATCCTCAAACTTTTCTAAAATAAAAATCCACCTTAATTTCCTCGTGTATACTTCTTAATCATACTTTCTCTTTTAATGACTTTCGAAACATGTATAACGATCTTCAGCGGAAAAAGTGCTCCAGTTAGAAAAGTGTTTGATTAGAAACCCGTAGGTGGAAAACGTGGTAGAGGACAGAAGTCTCAAACTGTTTACGTGATTCTCTGCCTTGATGGCTCAACATCACGGTGTTCTTAACACACGTATTAATATAAGGCGTCAATCAACGCCCCATTGGAATAGCCTTCCTTATTCCGCCGGTAACAATGAAGAAATTCATGTAAGTCATAACTTCCACCTTGGTGAGATGCGAGGCCTACTTAAAACCTCTGCTACAATTTGGACTGTAGCACCCGGTATGAAACGCACTCCACGGGGAATGTATGACAATCTTTAAATCATTCTTCCACGCGGTAGAGGACGTCCGCATTTTCGGTGAAGGACCAGGTGACTAACGATTTGGGGGCGCTTGGTACTACCTACAATAACAAGCACCTGATGGGGCTAGCGGTGGCTACTCGACGCGGTCAAGTACGACTTACGTCTGTAATGGCTAACTAAGAAAGTAAGGATGTATTACGATCTTACGTTTCCTACTCATAGAAAATTTCAACAGTTGGCATTTTATTTGAGGATTTTCATGAAATAACAAATAAAGAAACAATATTTTTGAACTGTTAAACGAATCACCTGTTATAATACTCAATGGTTCTTCACCTATGCATCACATACACATAGGCGCTACGCCTGTACTTCCTTTACCTATATCGACTTTTGCTACCTCTTCCATGGCAATGGTATTATATTGGCAATCAGAATTAGAATTTGTGCAAGCTTGAACAAAATATAATTTCATATTGTAAATAAGCTAACGCACTTTTTAAGCGAAAAATCAAACTAGAAAAACGTAAATCAGCTATTCAATTATTGTCAATTTGTTTTGTGTATATATATTTACCTTTACTATATTTACTTTAAACTAAATAGTTACCTGAGCAAGAAGAAGTTGGACGAGATAATGAAGTCAGCTGTTGTGGCTGAGGAGAAAAGTTACAAGAAGCATTAAGTTTCCGATTTTTTTGCATTTCAGCATAAAGCTCTTTTGTGGTTTTCACTTTTTTACTACCACTAAATGTACTAATAAGCATTTGTGATGAAAGACTTGTTTCTTTTGCAATTACAGAATCAACGCCTTTTGAACCTTTTTTACGTCCACGCTTTTTTGGTGTCTTATTCTCCGGTATAGAAACTATTACTTCAGTGGTGTCTGGTATTTGTTTAGAATTGATCAATTTAGGTTTCGAAAAATCTTCTAAATAACTCTTTAGTTGATTAGTAGTTGCTGCGTTTTCATTATATGTATTGCATTCCTTTTTTGGTATATTAATTTTTTCTTGGCTCTTAACATCGATAACTTCGCTTGGTGAAACTAGACTAGTTGGATTAGTACTGTCATTCGAATTGCTTTCACTTCTTCTGAATGGAACAAATTTATTATAGTTTAACTTTTGACGTTCTAAATCCACAGGAATATTTAAAGTTTTCACATCTCTACAATCATTATACATATTGACATCAAATGGTTTCGAAAGTGTCGTGTTAAATGTGGGTGACAATGGAGTAATTTGTTTTTTAAATTTTCCAGCGAATGTCAAATCAGTTGTTAATGAATTACAAGATGTTATTGCAGACCCGCGCTGAGATTTGTTACGTTCCTCAGCAGAAAACATTGATCCCATTGAACTATTGGATAAAGAAAGTATTTCTAAAAAAAAAAAAATTGTGTACATATGTTTATAATTTCAATAAAGATTTTTAAATTATTTATTTAATTATTCTGTAACAATATTCAACTAGAGCAACATCATCTAATTTGAATACTTTATAGAACTAAAATATGTATTTCTCAGAAATATTTTTCTGGCACAGTTTGTTTGAAATAACTAGCAAAACTAAATATAGAGGACGCCAAATTTTCGATATAATGAACACAAAAACTATGTACATCAATTGATCGAATGATATTTAAATTACGAGCACACTTTTCTTTCGTTTAATTTATTTCGTATAAGTTTTAAAAAATGTCAGAAGTGATATCATTCCAAAAAATAGTGACTGCAGCGATACTTTCATCTTTGAATTTTATGAAACACGTCTGGAAAAACTGGAGTTTGAAGAGACCATTTTAACATTGTATTGAATCAAGGTATCAATAATGCAACGAAAGTTTCACTAAACCTCTACTGATTGTCATGCGACATACTGTGAGATTGAGAGAACTAAAATTCACCAGCATAAATAAAATATTGCACGATCATTTAGCCGTAAGAAAGGTTTCTTGTCGTTGAATCCCAAAATCTCAAAAAGATGCTGTTAATTTTAAACCCATTAATGTATATAACTATGAAGTCTTTTAGCAGTTTTAGCAGTTTAAATAACTATAAAGTCTTTTAGCAGTTTTTATTACTAACATAATATTTAATTAACAGATAATATATGTCCTAATATAAAGACTTTAGCTGCAGTTAATATACTATTACTATTACACCAAACGGTGATTAAAGAAGCATATTTGCTGGTTTTTATTATAAAAAAAAGCAATATTTCACTAAACCTTATTATATTTATTTACTCGATCTTTATAGATAATTAAAATATATTTTTAACAAGATTTAATGAGCCAAATCGGTTAAAACTTACACAATTGTAAGCTACTTAAGGAAATCTCCAAATGGACTTATCAGCCATTTTGAGGTTTATAAGTCGCTATGGTTGGTTTAATAGTGAACATTGAAAAATGTCTCTGCTGGAATCCGATGATATCAAAATCGGATTGATACAGGCCTGAGTGTGTCGCAGCAACATGATGACAGCCACTTTTGCTAGTGCAACTTAATTTAAACTCCTTTGTTTCTGATTTGCATAGGGTTTGGATAGAATCGCTGTGCCGTCTATGCCTTGAGGTATAAACTAGATAATAATATAAATTGCAGTGCGAACGTGACGGATTTTAGTATCAGATTATTGACGCTAAGTTTTTTAGGAATCTATTGATTTTAAATATGGTCCCGAAAAAGTCTGGAAAATGTCACAGTAGATGTTCTCTGAGCTTTTCGTACATAGAACCGCATGCAGAACCTCGCATCAGACAGGCAAGACAAAAAAAAACACTAAATGGTTAGGATGCATGGTTACCGAAAAAATAGTTAAGTTATGAGAAAGGAGCGATCGTTAGGTGAGAGGAATTGAAAACTTGCTTCAAAAATCTTGTCAGCAACAGGATGTCTGTGAAAGTTTAAATTGAAAAATATTTCGGTGTGGAAGATATTGTGGATGTATATACATCTAATAGTCCTTGACAATATTCGATGCTTTCTCCATTGCTATGACTGATGAATTGCTTCGATAGCAAGTGGTTTTGTTTCTTTATATTTTCCTACGAGTATCTAGTACCTCTTAAAAATTGTCAATTCGAATCGCACAACTATTAAAAATTATAATTGACATATAAAAATTTACAATACTTTAAATTGTTGCTAATATTCTAAGATTAAATATTCTTAGCAATTTCATATAAATTTAAGGTTAAAAAAAATTATATGGCAGCACTTTTACGGTCACATACTTTTTTCTTTCCAAGACTTCTAACACTAAATTGACAAAAAAAAAACACCCGAAAAAAGTGCAACGAATGGAGTTATATCTGTTTATTTATAAGCAAATATTTGTATGGTATTAATAGCTATATTGCAGCAAGAAATTATTTGGAACTTGTTTGCTGAAGTGAGAAATTAAATGAAACTAATTGAAAACGCATCATGTTATTTTTTTTGTTTTTAAATGTCTTTTTGACCGTTTTGCTTATATGAAAATTGCACTGTCAATATATTTTATTAATTACGTATCACTTCCATTTTGCATACATGTTTCCCCATCAAACCAGACTGCGAAGCAGTTAAATATCTAGTTCACTACGTTTTGTTTTTTGTGTTCGTCCATCACAGTTAATATTGGATGATTTAAAAACCATCAGCTCTTTTTTTGGTATATAAACAACACTGGTGATCTTACAAAGAGCTGAGGTGGTGGTGTTATGTTTACAGTCTCCATGTTACTGGAGGGCGAGGTGAATATATGCTGTTATCTGATTTAGAATCAAATACTCTTTGGTGACAATATATAATAGAGAGATCGACCTACAAGATTCACTTCCTTCTTCTGAAGCCGGGCACTTCAACAAAGAGAAGATTTTGCCAGTCTTCTATATATTAGGGATAATGTTAGGGAGAATTGTTGAAATTCAGAATGAAGATACGTAGAAGTCAATGGGTCCGACATGCTTCACCACGATGAGCATCGAAATTCAAAGCTTTAGATTGTTTAATGACAGTTTGAAATCGTCGAAATGTAGTTCCTGAAAAAGACGTTTCTATCTGCTAAGATTTAGCAAGGAACAAATCTCTGTTCTTAGGCAAGGGACAAAGGGTCATTAAGAAAGATTGGGCCTAAAATCTTTAATTTACTTGCTCAAACTGCAGATTTGATGATAATGCTGCAGAATTTTTTCTCTGACTATTTAACCTAGAGGACAGAAAAATAATTTGAGATATCTTGAAATAATGCATTATTCGGATTGTAGAAATTTCCTTAGGCTTTGTGTCAGCTTCGCCACGGGTTCCATTAAATGGAATAATAATTGTGATGACATCTGAGCTCAATGTAATTTCAATATATCAAGTTGAGGCGGTAAACAGCGTTTGGCTGGCGAGACAATTTGGTGTTGCCCTGGTTGTATTAGTATAACAAATGAACCATCAATTTGAAATACCAACAGTTAGTCTCCGTAATGAAAAACGATTGATTTAAGCACAGAAAGAGTGAATTTAGATAAAAATATAGTCTATTGCAGTGCAGTAACTGCAATATTATGAGAAGTCATGACTGCTGCAATTTTGTATAGTTACTGTTTGTGCAGTTCAGCTGTAGTTTTGTGTTGGGGAATTGCTGTTAATTACGAAGACAATACTTGTGCAATGTGGGACTGAGCAGCGTCAGGTGGAATTATAGGTGATTATCAGCAGCAGTCTCCAACTAAAATATGATTTCCACCATGGTGCAAAACAATGCAGAGCAAGATGTAAGGTGGCATTAACCATTGTTGCTATTGTAGTAAACTGAGATAGAAATTTTAGAAATTGTCTTGTTACAAACAGTACAAAACCAGGTTGTTGGTAGAGTAGGAAATGCCCGGAATGAGCATGTTGGCATTGATTAATAAAGGACTGCAAGTTAAGACGATAGTATGCACATTCCTGGATTAATTAAATATTACAATTACCGAAAAAATCACCGTTTGCGACAAAGAAGTTCATTTCATCAAATTTTTGCAAATTAGATTTTGAATTGATAGATTCATTAATTACCACCTTTACCACTCATTACCTTTTGAACACTTTAATTTCTACTACTTTTCAGAGGAATTAAATAAGTTGAAGCATCATTGGAATAGTGTACCAGGTTAATTAGAAACTATTCCCTAACATACGTACATAGCTGAGAAAGCTCCTTCCGTTATAGTTAATATAATTTCGTAAGTGAGATGTTTTAAATTGCAAACATTTTAAATATATAATTTGATTTGTAATGTATACTTTCGCATTACCTGATATATTTGACGGTGGATCATTCATGTGTGATTTTTCCTCAATTACAGGTACAAACTTCTTTATCTTAATTTCTGGTTGGACGCTTTGAGAATTGAAATTAGTCGTATCATGATTATCCGTAATCAGCGTTATATTTGTCACAGAATTTTCATTTATAGTTGCTCGTTGATCTCTTCTTCTGTCTTTTTTTTCTCTTTTAGATTTCTTTTGTTTTATTGAAGAACCAATGGTACTACGAGAATTTTTACTACTTCTATTATCATTTGTAGCTTCTTGAACCGATTGTATTCTGTGTTCTGTTTGCTCAGTGAAATGCATTCCATCTATTGGATTTGAACCTGAATTTGAATCTTGTATATTTATAACAATTGGTACAGAATTCAAATTGCAACCATTTGTAATTGAATTTGAATTAGAGGATTGATCAACGTTATAACTATCAATAGCTGAAATTTTTTTAGTTTTTAATGAAGTAGAATACGGAACGGCCGTATTATCATTATATATATCAGTTAATAAATTAGCAAAACTCGTAGGCTGCTTCGTATTTGTCTGTAAACTCCTACTTCCTTTTTGTTTTTGTGTTTTAGTGTTATAAACATTATTATTACTACGAACGCTTTTATTATTGGCACTACTACTTAACAAATAGCTATTTGTGGGATGTATATTTGGTCCAATTCCATCTGGAACTTGTAATGTACACGTTTGAGGTTTAGGTTTCATATTTCGCGAGTTTTCTGTTACCAAATCCACCATAGAAGAGGATGATTGAGAATTTTGATTCGGATGTTCAATTCTGTTATCAGGAAAAATATTTAAAATCTTACTAGGAATGGCATATTGTTGTTGTTGCTGCTGCTGCTGTTGTTGCTGTTGTTGTTGTAAACCAACCATTTCACGCCATTTCTTTAAAAGCAACTTGGCTCGACGTGCTAGTTGGTCACAATTAGTACGACGGCGTAAAGAATTTATATATTTAGCTAATCTGGTGGCTTCCAATTGTTCTTTTGTAATCGTTGTGATTTCCAAAGTCGATATAACCGATAGAACGATATCCATGTTGACAACCTAATCCAAAAAGAACATATTTACTCACTTTGGTCATAATTTCAAACATAAATAAATCCTTACATTATTATATAAAAATATTTATATATTAAGTAAATCTATAACAATACTTACATCATAATTTGAATCGAGTGCGAGAGCTAAACGAGATGTTAAATCGGATATGGAGTTTGTTGTCATTTAGAAAACTTTATTACCCAAAACGAGAACACAATTTTTGGAGATTATAACGATTGTTACTATCCTTTGTGTTTTATAAATAAAAAATATACATTAGTGTTTTATTGTTTTGCAGCAAGCTTTGGAATCTTTTTCACATATCTGAAATGAAGAATTAATGTTTGTTGTTATTAAACCATCCCATATCTGTGGGCATATTAGTCTCGACATCTAATATATAGTACTATAGCATACACATACGATATATTTAAATCCTGAATTTACTTATACATATATGTTAGTAAATACTATTTTTTTATACATGTCATATTACATTGATATATACTTTAATATATAAAGTTTTTTTTACAAAATTTAATTGTTTTTTGCATATGCAATAAACTTTAGGTAAAAGTTCATCTTTAAAAACTAACATATATTGTCTATATACATACACATATAAAAATTAATATTAATGCCAGCAAATATATAATTAAAGGAGAAGAAAATTATTCAAATAGAATACATAAATATACCAATAACATTATTTAATTACTCATAAACGTCATATAAATTTCATTATGAAACCAGGACATGTGGTAATATATTTCAATATTTGAATTAATTTATGCAATATAAGTGTGTGGCGATTTCCTAGTAAAGAAATTTTTTACAAATATATGACTGCTTTTAAATTTATAAAATTCTGCTTTAATATAATATGATTGAGAAATTAAAATCGCTCAGGTGAATTTTTCAAAGAGGCATTTCTACCACATGGAATTATTAAGTAAAATATTCAATATATTCAGTTAAATGGGAACAAAATTGCAATGTACACATATTTCTTTAAAAGTATTATTGTTGTATAGACATTAGTTTATGTGAACTTTGGAAAATAAATAATAAAGTACATATCTTAATATTCTTTAACAATACCTTTGACGTCATTGTGCTTACATTAATTCAAGAAATAAGGTGTTTTTCATCAACAAATCTGATAAAAGTATCTCATTTGCACGACATTTCAAGACTTTTTAACTGAGTAGAAAATATGGTAAAGTGTTCAAAAATGGCATTAAACCGAATTTTACACAGTTTTAAAGCACAAAAGATAATATTTGTTCGGAAAAAATGATTTTAAACACTAGTTTAATACCCAAATATTCATTTTCAATAAATATACTGAAGCACATATTTCAAAATTTTTTATACTGCTTTCACATTCACTCGCATATTCGTGATTTCAGTTTTGATCTTAATATGTAAGTAGATGTTATTTTCAAAATAAAAATTTTACCAACTTTTGGAAATAATAGTTTGAAAAAATCACCATTATTTCAATTTTTTATTAATTATCAATCCAACATTTATAAAACGATTATCTGCAATTATTTTAATGAAACAGACTTTAGAGAATTCCCTGAACGACGACCACTATATTCTGCGTGACAATTTGTCGCGTAATTATATAAACGTTGGCATTAGCATTACCATATGTAAAATTAAAAACATCAAACAAAATCTTCGACAACGGATACCAAAGAATACAAAACACAGCAGACCAACGAATACTCACATATGTGGATAATGAATAGCTTCAAGCAACAATTGTTATTATTTACTCTCTGAACATGACTGTCAATTGCAATATATAAATTTAATTCCATATTTTGATAATATTTATATATATTGTAAGTCGCTTGCTTTGCTTTCTCAAACCATCTTTGACAGTTTTTTACTTGAAGTGCTAATGTAACTGTGGTGATTATCTTTTCTAAATATATTATTTAATTTTTTTCACCTATCAAATAAGAATTGAGATATAATATATCTCCTGTGCGAAAAAAAAAATGTTGCATGAAGTTAAATATGCCTTCAAACCTTACAATATAAACTTAAAACATATTTTTAACTTCGATTAATTATTTTTTGGGAAGTAGAAGTTCTAAAAAGAAGTGCATCGTCTTCAAGAAAATGCAACCACCAAACATTTGTTCACCTTTTTTGTAAATAGAGCTTCATCGCTCTTCATGACATTTTATCCAGAGTTGCCACCACAAGTAGTGCTTATTTTATATGTTCTTATTTAATGTGCTTACAAAAGAAAAGGCCTATTGCAGTTTTTAATGAACACAGAATTTAATAATTCCTTAATAAATAATTATGGAATGAATTTTTCACAATTACTAACCTGTCAGTCAACTTTACAATTTTTTTTTTAAAAATTTCTTTTTAAAATATTTTTTTAAAAATAATAATAATTTTGTTATTTTTTATAAGGGCTTATTTTTCAACAGTTAAATAATGATCTTTTAAAAAATATTTATTTGTTTTTAAGGATTTTATTTTTTTTTACCAATATTTCGACTATAATTTATAGTCATCATCAGGGTACTATGCAATTTCACTAAATGTAACAATATTTGGTCCATATTACAAAGAAACAAATACATTAACATCGAAAACATGAAATCCTCTTCCTTCACTTTTAAAGTTCAGTCTTGTGTCACTAGAACTTTGGAGGATGTATAACATTTCTAAGAAAAAAGCGCTTTCATGCTTTTATGCAATACAGTGTGATACCAGTGCCGTTTTTGGCTCATTATTATTTTTATATTTTACACTGTGTTTATGTTCGCGTCTTCAACTTGTTTTTTATTGTACCAACATGTACTTGGTTGCATATGTTGGATCCGTAATCCTTACATTTAATTTGATAAACCACATTATGTTTATTCAAAGTATCTATTTTAGATTTGGTGTTAGAAAACAGCGTGTTTTGCGTCTTATATGTAATTTGATATTTTTGTTTGTCATATATTGTGGATATTGTAATTTGATTGGAGAGTTTTGGTACATATACCATACTTTTTTAAATTTGGGTATTCTGGTTTACTTTTTGATTTCTTTTTACGTTCAAGATTTTAGAATTACTTGGTTAGGGAAATCATTTTTGTTTAAAACCCTTTTAATGTTGTTTCTTACCTCCTCGTGGAAAATTGTGTCACTTAACTCTAATGCTCTTATAGAAATATTTTTGGCAGTGTTCCTTACTATATGGCAGGGGTGTTTTAAATTGAAGTTTATAATTCGTCCAGAGACTGTTGGTTTTTGACACCATTTTATCATTATACGATTATTGTAGCTTAATAAATGGATGTCCAAATATAGTAACTGGTCATGCTTTTCTTCTTCTATGGTGAATTTGATACTTATGTGAAAGTCATTGAAAATTTTTAAAGTATCTTTGATGTTATCTGTTCTTACAATCCCAAAGAGGTCGTCTACATATTTCGTTAAAAGCCTAGGTTTTATTGCCATTTTTTCCATGCATTGGTCAAGTAGTTTCTCCATTACAATATCTGCAATAATTGGTGACGCTGGAGAACCCTTGGGCATACCTCTCCGTTGTTTATATATATTATTATTTAATGTAAAGTAATTGTTGTCTGTGAGACAAAATTTTAGTATTTCGAAAAACTTAAAAATTTAATATTTCGACCAATAACCCGTATAAAAAATAAAATTATTTAAAAAAAATTTTTTTTTTTTGGTCATTAAAACAATAAATTATTTTTAAAATATTTAAATTTATTTCTTAACACTCGGAACATTTATATGTAATAAACCAACTCATTTCTCATTTGACTGGAATTTTTTATTTTCTTTCTAAAATCATTCACAGTAGATCAGTTTTAAGATTTGATACCATTGTAGTGCGATTGGCTTATTCGTTAAATAGTTCCAGGAAAGTAGGCTTATATATGCGAATTTTGTTGTTGCTTTAAATACACCTTTAGGAAAAGTGAAAATCAGAATACATTGATATATTCCGACATTAGTGGACCTAAAATAAACACAAAATCAAACAATTGCATTAAGTCACACAATAACAAATCAAAAAAAACTTCACGAAACTGTCAAGTTAAAGTATTGCTCAACGAACAGTAAAAAAAATAGTATCATTCACAATAGAGTATTGAAAATCATATATGGAAGAAGTAATTGGTATTGAAATATGGTCTTGAATTTTGCCTTGGAAATTAATTGAATAATAAGGGAATTTTTTTTTGTAAAATCAAATAAGTTTCACATGCAACGATGCACAGACATTCTGAATGCCCTCATATGTTTTTTCCCTTATATTACTGCCATAGAAACATCGTTTACTTTTGAATGTGTAAATCTGATTCATTGAAGTAAATCAAAATTGACAAACATGATTGATAGGGTACGTTTGTGTGTAAATACCTGTTAGTGCCAATGAGTTTAAATATTAACCACATGGTTACGTTAGTTTATTGATACAAAGACAAAGTACATGACTTAAATGGCTTTTAATCGTGGTGGACATAATAATAGAGGTAAATTAAAGAAAGTTTAATTCCATAACAAAGTTTATAATTTTTTATATGAAAGGTGGATTTAGAGGTCGTGGCGGAAGTGGCGGCGGTCGCGGTGGAAATGCTGGACGCGGTGGCAATGGCGGTGGACGTGGTGGAGGTGGTGGTTTTCGCCGTGGCGGGTATGGAGGTTTTGGGGTAAAATTTTTAATTGATATTTATTTAAATGCTTTAAATATATATATTAACTATTATAGGATCGCGGTATGACTGGTCCTCCGTCTCAAGTTATACCTTTGGGTCATTTTATGTATCCGTGCCAGGATGACATAATTTGTAAAGTTGATATTGATGATGTACCTTATTTTAATGCTCCAGTTTATTTAGAAAATAAAGAGCAAATTGGTAAGATTGACGAGATATTTGGAACTATTAGAGATTATTCCGTATCTGTAAAATTGTCTGATAACATGAATGCGAATAGTTTTGAACGAAATCTGAAGCTTTTTATTGATCCTGGTAAATTATTGCCAATATCGAGATTTTTAACCAATTCGTCACAAGCTAAATCAAAAAAGAAGGGTGTTTCTGGAGGTACACCAGGTGGACGTGGAGGTTTGTACTAAATTTAAAGTTTTATTATTGATAATTTATTGTAACTTTTTAAAAAAGGCTTTAGTAACAACCGAAATGGTCGGCCTAGCTTTTCAGGAGGTAAAATATAATATTTGTTATAAATAGTATAATTATTTAAAAAACATTTCTTGTTTTTAAGGACGAGGTGGTGGAAATTTCCGTGGTGGTGGTGGTGGTGGTGGCGGCTTCAATAAATTTCGCGGAAATTCAAATAGGAATAAAATGTCTCGAGGCAGAAACTAACATAAGGAGTATATCAAATCTGATAAAGAAGCAGCATATTAACTGTAGTCTACCGTGCATAAAATCCTATAAATTAGAAATAATTTTAAATTTTAAGATGGAAGTTCTTTTGTTTTGATTGTAATAGTTTTTTTCTATAAAATACAAAGAAACAAATCAATATATATTTATTTTTAATTAACTTTTATTTCGTAATATTATATACTACATAGTTTAATAATAATAGTGTTGTATAAGTTTACATTAACATAGATAATTTATCTATATATTAAATGGCAAAAAGAAAAACAAAATTTTATAAGTTATAGATATTTAAGCTTCGATTTTGCAATACAAATTTTTTTATCTAATGCTTCAAGTAAATATCTGCCATTGAATAATAGAAGATTAATTTCAATAACGTTTTATTCAAATGGTTTGATTTCAAATAATTTAAATTCTAAGAAAATAAATTAACTTGCGCTTCTAAAGAAATGCTCAGCTTCCATTTGTAAATAATGCCTCTTTTTATTAATGTGTAAATGTCACTTTAAACGTGGACTTCATTTCACAGTTACATTTTTGTTGAAATAATCTATTAATTGCTGATAATTATACGATGAAGACATATTGTAAATGTTCTCAGTGGAATACTTCTTAATTTTAAATAAGTTGCTATTATTAACTTTGATATATTTATTTTGATTAAGATAAAATTTACCATTTTTTAATTTTTTTTTTTTAGAACAATTAGTTAAATCTGGTAAATTATAATTATAAAAATTGTTTTGAAAGAAATCGTTTATGTTTATATTATTTTGATTCATATAGCTTTGATGGTGCAAATACTGTAAAAAAAGAAAAACAATTGTTATATAACTAGCAACTACAGCCAAATTGCATTTCTTTTGAACTCAAAACAAATGTGTAAGAAATTAATATATTGTATATACATAAATTAAATTTACTAGGCTCGCAATAACGGTTTGTTCTACAGCTTATAGTTCAGGAACAAATCGTTTACTTGGAGATTCATTTTTTATTTATTGATTTTCAAATTTTGTAAAAAAGCTTACTGCTGTTTTTGTTGGTCCATTTTCTTTTAATGGGTGATGAAGTGCAAAGGCTTTTTGTTGAGATAATGTACGAAAATTGTGGCTTGTGCCCAATAAAGTGCTGGTGACAGTATCGGTGCTGTCTCTCGTGATATCGAGACTATTATAATTCAAACTTTCTCCAAAATGAAAATTCGTTAATTCCGTTGGAAACAAATAAAATATTACGATCATTATTGCGTAGATCAGAAAGTGTGATAGGATGCATGTCCATATAAGATTCATCTATATATAAAAAAAAGAAATATTATAATATATTTCTTTTTTTTTTGCGTAATATATTAATGCAATTATAGGGCTTTATTTTGATCCAAATAATTTAAAACAAGTACAATCAATATTAATATTACCTTTGCTTTCCTTTCGTATTTTGTAAAACTGACAAACGGGACAAGGGCGATGGTTAAAAAGACTCCACAAAATATACCAGCCAGCAAAGCGGTAAAATTTAGTTGCCAAGGTAAGGTTCCGATGCAAAACAACAAAGAACCAAAAAAAATTAATTTTAAAAGTGCGATATGGGGTTTACGTAATTGTTTCCATATTAATATCAAGAGAACAATTAAAGATGCCACTACACCAGATATAGATGCTAAAGGTCCAACCTTTAAAAGAAATGTAAAAATATACACATTTATATATTTATATACAAATATTCTGGAAAAATAAATAATTTAGTTTAAAAAGTGGATATATTTACTACCAGCAATTGGTAATGCTACATTATTTTTAAGTCTCAGATTGACTTTGTGTATAATATTAACTATTAAGTTTCTATTTTTTACTGCCGCCACATCAGCTATATCTAGAAGTACCAAGTCTTATTCATAATACTATGTCAAAAGTACTGGATTATAGGGGCACGGAATTTATTTCTGAAGTCGATTCAAGTGCTCTGTCGTTAACGGTAGAAAAACATTTCTCTAAAATGGCGCATCTGATCGTTTTGTAGGTCCAACAGACGTTATTTTTCAGAGCGACATGTATGATTATGTTTGCTCCTCGCCATCAAATTAACCGTTGGAATACTTCTCGTACACATAAGGGGTATATATCCTTTCAGAGCCATCCATCCAATTTTTTTAAAATCTCCTTTGCGTTTGATGAGTAATTTAAGAAATTCCTTTTCGGGACAGCATTATCAAAAAAAAAAAAATGTAGCGTAAAGGCAGTAGTCTTTAGCAATTTGAATCCTAAGATTAATGACTGTCCGAAATAAAGGTCTGGCACGTTTAACGTAGAATGAATGAAATACAAGTTTTAAGCATACTGGCAGAAGTTGTCAACGTTATTATCGACATTATTATTAATATAAAAATAGAAATTAGTTTTGGTTTTTGAAAGTTTAAGGTTTAGGGTAATATATAAATTCGGCCCTTCATTCGTAAGAATTTATTACGCAAATTTATTATTATGTTGAAGTTAGTTGAGTCAGTGCACTTTAGCACTTTTACTCTCTATTCACTGCAAGATATCTTCAAAACCCCTTTTTTCGCCTTGACTGGATTATTGACCTCAGATCTGCATACCTCTCCGAGGAGCCTGCAACCATTCTGACATTCGATAACGCGGAGTTGGTAGTTCTGCTAGTTTTCGTAAATAATTTTAGGGCTGTATCCTTTATGTACTTGCCTTAATTCTAATAAAGGTGTGTGCGAGTTTTGTTGAATTAATACTAAACTAAACTTTCCGGGATTTTTTCACGGTACATACTTAGTCGAACTTAGTTGTAAATATGTTTTGGTTTTACTGTTGTTTTTATATTTTATTAGGAGGATAATATACACGTAGATGTTGCTTTTGTGCTTTTACAATTAATGAAATAAATATATTGATTAAACGCCGTAACATGATTAGCCAGCGATCAGTGGAAGTAGAATATTCACAGGTAAGTAAAAAATAATTTTAGTAATAATATAAATGAATAGTTTGCTTTTTAGTGATCATCATGATGTCAAAGTGGATATTCTTCCAAAATATTTGAAGCTGTTACAAAAAATGATGTGGTTATGAAGGATCCAAGAATGACCAAGTCGACGTTCCGGAGCCACTCGTTGATTTCGGCGACTTATTGTCGTTCGTCCCATCAAAAAGAGATAAGACAAACAGATCCCTGCGGATTCCAACTACAACATTTTGGCTTGTAAGCCTCAATTGATGTTTTTAATTGTGGTGAACATTTTATAAACACAAAAGAAAGATGGAATCGTCGTATAGTTATTGCTGTAATTTAATATTGGTTTATGAAGAAAAAGACGAAAAGAAAATGTTGATGCCTGTTGCTCTCTTAATAGTCCTAATTCTTTCTCTCTCTGAACTTAAAATTTAAGATTCATACAACATGTAGTTTGCTAATCCTGCAATAGCATAACTACTACATTTGGATAAGCTTTTAACATTTTCAATGCAAATTATAGCACGATTCTTGTAGTCTATGAGGACCAAAACATCACCAAAACCAAAGGTTGGGCTAAGTGTGGATATAGTGTCATAGAAGCCTATGCAAATGCAGTAGTTATGCTATTGCAGGATTGCGAAAATACATGAAATAGCGTGTGATATAACGGTATAACGCGTTTTTGGGTTATTATAGACATTAAATTCAGCAGCAGAATTTCTTATAGGTTTATAGTATAAACTTATATTATATGTATAAATATATTATATGTATATTATATCATTATATGTATAAACTTATAGGTTTATATAATGATGACAAAGACAGTTGATTTAGAATTTCTTATAGATTTATAGTATAAACTTATAGGTTTATATAATGATGACAAAGACAGTTGATTTGCTAAAATACAATCCTTATCTTTGTCACTGTGAGAAGAACCAAAATCCGTCACGTTTTAAGCATGGTTTATTTTAGATTGGCGATCTAAGTTTTTTCGCTGCATTTTTTCAAAAATAATTATTATTATAATTTTTTTTAAGTGGGCTGACACTTTCGAAGTATTCTTGAACAGCTCTATTTTTATCATTGCATTAAACCCTTTTTAGATATTTTTAAGCTTTATTTAATTTTTGTTTTGTGTTCTGAGATCAGAGTTTGTCATTCAAAATAAACGACGTTGTTAATGTTAGATTGAAATATTGTCAATTAGGGGACTGACTTCTCTCCGTAAAAAAAAATTCTCATAACCTCCAATTTTTAAATTTATTTTTTTTTGGTTTTTTTAATCAAGAAATGAAGTTAATGAAAGGTTCAAAAAGATGTAATCATTGTTAAGTAATAAGTGCTTTAAACTTTCTAAAACAAAATGTAAGTTATATTGCAACTAAAGAAGATTGAATATGGATCCTAGTAAAGTAAAAGAGATAAGTGACATCAGGAATCTAGCAAACGTTAAACAAATGCAAGCTACTCTGGGTATAGTCAATTTTTAAAAACGATTCTTGCCAAATATAACAACATTGCTTAATCTGCAAGTTGATAGAGAACTTGTATATAAATTTAATTTATTATTGCTACTAAAGAACTGTTTACCTGGTTTTAATCCAATATTTAAGACAAAGATTATCGTAAAGGTTAGATTAAATTTGGTCTGGCAAATGATCAGAATGGAGATGAAGAACCTGTTGAGTTTGTTACAAGAACATTGTGTAAAACTGAAATAGATATTCACAACTGGACCATTAAGTAGTAACTATATCAAGTAGATTGTTTAGTCGACAATAAACATGTTGAGTCACAATACAATGTAGAAGATTATTTCTTAAAGTACCACCGTAATACGAGAAGAATATCCAGATATTTTTTCTAATAATATTTATTGAACAGAATAATTTATGATCTTACAGGCTTGTGTGAAACTTAAAAGAAACTGTTAGTTGGTGATCACCAATGCTTCAAAGTGTTTGCAATTAGACGAACAGTAACACCTCATCAAAATAGTATTTTTAAGTTTTAGTTGTTATTACTTCTAAAACAAACATCTAGCTTTGGTATTGATTTTAGAAGTTAAATCTATGAAATATGTACAATTCGCCAGCAAGCACCACTTTCGAATATAGAATTTATTATAAATCGTAAAATGTATTCTTTCTTTTTTGGTATATATGTATCAGAGAACTGCAACGAGTCATAATTTTAACACTCAGAGTGCACTCATAACAAACCAAATCTAAATGCGTATAAATGCTTTTTTCACACACTATTTATATACATTCATATTCGCCACAAAAATGATTCATAAGTATGTTCGGTAACGAACGTCGGGGCTAATGAATCAGCTTTACAATAATACGTATGATTCATGAATCATAGCTTATACTCAGGTGAGTGTGAATGTACTCATTGAAAATATATAACTCGAATACTTGTAGCATTCGTACAAATTTAAATTAAATTAGGGGTTGTTTTAGTATTAAATTATATGTACGGCATAGAACAACAATCAATTTTTTCCCGACTGTGATGTAATACTCATGAATGATTCATAAATCAAATTCATCACTCTCGTGCCGAATGTCGGTGTTTATGAGCATCATATGGGCAGAGTATAAATCACTATAAGTGATGTCAGCTGTTTGTATGAATCAGACGGAGTCGAATATACGAAAAAGAGAGTCAGAATGAATATAAATGAAACACAGTCAATGAATTGAGTGTTACGTACTCATTGCAGTTCTATGGCATATATCAAATGAATAACAGCAGTTGTTTTATTTAAGAGCGATGCAACCGCTTACTTTGACTAAATTATATTCATAACAGAATATCTTCTAACTTAACAATTGTCTGCGAGTATTATTCAAATGAATAACATGCGTTTTTATTACTACTTTTAAATAAAATTTTGTTATTAAAATTGGAAATAATTATTACAACAAATTTTTTAAGATACCCTTCAACAGAAAGAGAAGGACAAGTCTAGGGAACACCGATTTAACATCATCTAAGGAAATGAAATATTTAGGAGTAATTCTAAATAAAACTCTTACTTGGAAAAGCTATTCATCATACATTTATCATATATAACATAAATAACGTATGCGTGCCAAAGTCTTTGTGCTAAAGAATAGGGTCTGCGACCAAAAATGATGGTTTGGTAGTACAAGACCGCAATAGTACCAATGATCACCTATGCTTTATTGGCATGAGGGCCAAATATAGATTAGACGAAGGTTAAGATGACCCTTAACAAAATTCATCTATGTCATCTATCTATGTAATTTTAAAGAGGGCAATCTAATAGGGCACGCAAGAATTCTGGATGAAGTCTGGAATTTTCCGTGCCTTAAAGTCTTTGATAAGACGTATAGAAGACTAGCTTTTTTTAGGGAACTCGAAGTGGTCCGTGACCGATCAAGTTAGAGAAATAATTAAATTATTTTAAAAGAGGGCTCATACTTATGGTATACTGATGGGTCCAAAATGGAAAATAAGCAGTGCAAGAGCAGGAATTGTAGGGCCTGAATTGCGGAAAGCAATCGCTTCCAGAATTATTTCGGACAGTCAAGCAGCTTTAAAATCTTTAACAAACTCTTCATTCCAATCAAAGTTGGTCTGGAAATGTTTTCAACTTCTAAATACTCTAGTATCGAGAAACTATGTTACCTTGTGTGGGTACTGGGATATGAAGGGCATGATGGTAATAAAATGGCAGACTCCCTGGCAAAGAAAGTTGCATAAACTTCTTTCATTTACCCAAAACCCTTATGCGGGAGGACAAGTAGTTTCACAAATAACTTAATATGTGAATAATGAGAAACGAAGTCAATTTGAACACTGGAGAGCTCAAACAGGCATGTGGCAGTTTAAAATATTTATTGATTCTGAACGCATCAAAATTGACACTATCATTAAACTTGGCAGAAACGATATTGAACTCTAAACTGAACTATTAACAGAACGCTCTAGACTCAATTACCACATGAAGAATAAAGATGTGGTAGAAACTGATTGCAGTCGACTCTGTCATGAGGAGAAAGAAACATGAGAAATGTTTTACGCAACTGCACAGTGGCGGCAACACGTAGACTTGACTACCTTGGATGCGGGATTTTGGCTCCAAATCAACTAGGTAATAAGTAGTAATTACGAGATTTATAAATAGTCTAGAATTGTTTTAGTAGGGTTTTAATAGACACAATAGATCTTTTTTGTCGGGATGAATTCGTAGCCTATTAATATTATTTTTTCTTTTATTGGTTTATTTATTAAATTTTTCTAAATAGAAAAAATAAATGTCGAGCATGAGGATTTGGATACTTTTTGTTTTTGACATACCACGGTGCGCACGTAGCTTGTCCACAGTTCTATACTATAGGTCCAAATTAGCTTTAATATTGATATATTGAATATAATATTGATTTAATAATAATATTCTCCTTAGAATAAAAGTCACTTGAAAGCATTTACTTTCATTCACCTTGATTCTCCATTTAGCAAGCCACTCTTCAATCAAACCAATATGTCTGAATAAATTTTGTGATGCTATAGTGCGGTCATGACTATAGCAGTGTCGTCAGCAAACGTCGTTAGCAAATTGTTTGGGTATTGTGGAATGTCAGCTGTATAGATTAAGTATAGAAGCGACCCAGGGCACTAACCTGAGGAACTCCAGCGTTGATATCGTAATCTTGTGAAGATAAAAATTTGTGTCTAACCCTATATGGTGAGTAACGTAGGATTTTAGAAGTTTATGAATGTTTTCCTGAAGCGAGTGCATTATTTTAAATAAAAATCCTTCAAGCCACACTTTATCAAATGCCTGCGCTGCATCAAGAAAAACTGCCATACAATATTGTTTTGAATGTAAAGCTAAGTGTATTTTGTTAGCGACTCCAAGGACCAGTTCCATTGTTCCCTTTGCGAAAACCAAATTGATGGTCCGGAATTAAGTTTTTTATCGGGAAGGAAATCAGGATTTTTTTAATTAGAAGTTTTTCGAAAATTTTTGAGATTTGTGGCAATAGACTTATTGGTCGATTTGATGTAACAACTTAATGATCTTTTTTAGGGTTCGGGATCATTTTTATCAACGAATGGTCTGAAGACAAATCATACGATGGATCAGCAGAGATATATTCCTTATTTAAATCCTTGATGACACTGAAATCGATCAAATCAGGAGTTTTACTGGTATCGGTTGGATTTCCAGATGATATGACTTCGAGTCCCTTATTTAGAGTTGCATAGAGTTGTCTTCCTCGTAGCGATATTAATCTGGCGCCCTAGAAAGTGTGCTTAACATTAAAATCTCTGCTAAGAATTTCGATCCTAAAGAATCAAAGTATTTTGTAAAATAACACTAGTTTCATTTGGGCGATAAATATGCAGATTGTAGTGGCTTGAAAATGTTTTCTGGAAAGTTGCTCTAATTCATAATGACGCTTTGTAATTCTGATAAAAATTTTTGGTGTATTAAGCCGTTAGCGTTCCCGTGGCAGATGCGTTTAATCTGATCTCAGTAGTCTGGAAATAAGCGCTTGATTCTGGACCATACTTTGCATCATAGACTGCATCATGCTTTGCATCCATTTCATAAACTTGTCCATCCTTAGTATAAAAGAAGACTGCGTTGAAGCTGATGGAGCATACGATGTTTGAGGAAGCTCATTTGAGGCAGTATAGTTATTATTATTTAAGTGAGGGAATTGCTCAGGTAAGAAATTTATATTAAGGATAGGATTTTGCTTATGTTTGGCTGCCGTCATTTTTTCCTTTAGGACAAGAAAGATAGGACAATCGCGATAGTTGGCTGTGTAATTTCCTTTGCAGTTCGAGCAAATCTTGGCGTCCACATATTGTTTGCTTTTCGGACAACTTTCCGTAATTGTAATTCTGAACAAATAATACATAACGCATTTTCATATGAAGTAGATATTGTAATACAACTCAACTTCATGTATTATTTAACAAATGAATATATAAATAAATTTAGTATTTTGGGGATTTAGAGTGATTATTCTTAATATGATTTTATTATAGTCCAAGCAAATGATTATGTCATATAGACGTTATCAAAATAATACCCACTGCAAGAGACTATCCATGTTGGTGACTATATCTAAACAGGGATGTGAAAGTACCAGTTAAAAATTTTGAACTTTGCATATGTATTCGATCAAGCCCAACAAAACAACAAGTTTTAATATGGAAGCGATCTGACAAAGTTTGATCTAGAACTCATATAGGTTCTTTGAGACATTTTATAATGCGTTGAAGCTTGGTAGAGTTGGTTGTATTGTTTGAAAATTTTAGTTTGCCGATATATATATTTTCAAATGTGATTTTCAAATTCAGAGTTTTAAAAAATGAACATAATGGAGATTGCTAGGATTGTAAGTATCATATCTTTTTAATTAATTATTACCTCTGTTTTATATGGCACAAGCACAGCGCTTGTTAAATTACCAGCAAAACCAGATCCAATGTAAACAATTGCTGTTCTAATTGGTCCAATGACATGTTCGAGATCTGCAAGAAATATATGCTGAAATACAATTGTTATGGCCAAGTGCAAAATTCCAGCATGTAAATATAGTGACGTGAATAAACGATAAAACTGGTCCGGAACTTCAATGGTTAAAAAAGGAAACATTCCACATACATTGTTTAAACAAGATATCTAAGCAATAGAAAAATTAATTGGAGTTTTTGGTTTATTTTTGAAGTTCTTACCTGTGAACATAGGGAAGCCTCTTCATGGAAGTAACCATTCACAAAGTCACAATATTCGCGCGTTGTAATCCGACATTCTCCATATACACCAGTGCAACATGGGTGACCAATAACTTCGCAAACCATATGCTCTGCGGTATGATCCTTGTATCGGAACCGTTGAGGAAATGAATTTGTTTTACGACAAATTGGCCATTTTGTTATATCATCGGGCCATTCGTAAGGAGCAATTGAGGCAGGTGCATCGCAGAATTTTGGATCCAAACCGCAAACTGAACCAGAAATACGACCACCTGGTCCGGATTCTCCAGGTGACCACTTTTTCCAAGTGGACATTGATTTCTATAAGTTATTCCTTTATAAATTTAAACTCAAAATTTTTTATTCTTCTTACCGTTGGATACAATCCCCGAATGGAACAATCAGCTTGCGAGCTTTGTACGCAGCCTGAATCATCATTACGGATGCAACATGCTGTTTCACGTTCTTGACGTCGCGTTTTCGAAAGCACATCCATTATTTTTATATCCTTGCGCATACACGTTGCAAATTTTGCACCCATGTGAACTAAATCATTATTTCGTGGACCAATCCAAAAATTGCGCTGTTCTGTGTGCTGAACTGTTTGCAGACTAAGGCTAGTTACTAAAACTTGTCCAGTTTTTTGCTCTATCCCAACACCTATCGGGCCAATACCGTAACATATAAGTGATAAAAACAATATAAGCGTTTGGACAGTATTTATCCAATATGTGAAAAAAGGACGATGATCTGTTCTATCATCTAAATCATTGAGGGAATATAACTTAATTCTGACTGGCAAAGTTCTACGTGAATTTTCTAGCACGCCATCTAGTAGCTGAGGAATAATGCGATGTCCACGAATATTGCTGCTATCTTGCTGTAGTTGTTGACTTGGCATATGGCTAAATGTTTGATGATTACTCGCGTTTCCAGTGGAAGATTGATGCGTATTTGTTTCAAATGGGTCAGTTTGCAACTGTGTACTGCCGCCGATTAAACCCGTTGTTCTCCAGCCATGTACACGTTCACTAACATACATTTGGCGTTCTTGTATTTCAAATGTTTTGATTACCGGCACATTATTAGATCGATTGTTTGAAGTAGTGCCATTGTTTGGCGATATTGTATTATTTATAGATTGAGTTGTCATTGAAGCTGATGATGTTGCATTTTGATCTGCGTTTGGTGCATCAAAAAATACTTCATTTTCTTGAAGTAAGGACAAATTCAGGCGTAAATCGTTAAAATCTTCAGATAGTTGTAGCTGATTTACATGTGGTGGAGCAAAACTTCGAGACCATTGATGATATATTCGTGGTTGATGTCTATTGATAGTGTCCATAATATATTTAACGCTACAAAGCATCATTGCAACTACAGACGGTTTACGTTGCACATTTTCTGCAAATTGAAACTGAACGTTTGAATATTGATAGGCCGTTTTATTTAAATTAATTATATTATAACAATTAATGGATTGTTTATCGTCATCATCAGCTGTATGAGCGGGTAAAACATCAGGACGGTCTGATGAATAATTGCAGTTCTGGCCATTTATACGGTGAGTGTGACTACTAATTTGAAGATTGCATGAATTAAAAGTATTGTTTTGGATTGGTTTGTTTTTAAATTTTAAATTTCCAAAACGACGTATTGCAAGTCGACGGTGTCGTGATTGCCAGACTTCATACTCCTCCGCTTCTGTGCTAACGTCAACTCCAAAAAATGTTGCAATCTGTTTTCGAAAATAAATATTTAAACGCTTTTTTCGTGAATACCGTTGCTGTTGTGTAGGTAAACATTGTATATGTGGATTTTGCGTTTTCGATTGTCCATACATTTGTTGAAACTGTGCTTGCTTAGTTTTATGTTTCTGTTGCACTTCATTTTGTTGTTCAGTTGGTGTAATGTTAATCTGCAAAAGGGTTGGTTGTACACTAATTGACTGTGAAGAAAGAGGGGATAATTTTGTTTCTTCAGCAGAGTATACCAAGGTATTCGCAGTTGAACATATAGGCCCAGGAAAATTACTAGTTCCATTATAAGTAGAAGATATTTGTTGCAAAGGAATTGGGCTTATTGGCCCCGTTGTTTGTGTTGTTTGATGTACACCAGTTGTACGGCGTACAGTGCTGCAATGTGAACACATGCTACTATTATTAGTAGTATTTAGGTTACTTGATTCTATAGCATTTACAGACGAAAAATTAATAGCGTTTTGAGTACTTAACACTTCCGTTGTTGATGTAGCTGCATTAGATGTGGGTAACTGCAATTGTTCATTAATTGCTATATTTCCTTTACATGATGATAGTGTTGTTGAAGCAGTAGATGCAACAGTACATTTAGTCATGTATGAAGTGGGATGCATACGTGGAGACGTAGCACATCCATCTGCAATACACAAGGAACGATGTTCTCGTTCATATACATTAATATTTGCAGGCATTATCTGCTGTTGCTGTTGAAGTTGAGAAAATTGTTCTTCGCTTGGACAGCATTTTATCCGAACCCTATAAGGCAAGTTGCTGTGATGATGTGGTGTTGTATATAGACTAGATGAATTGCTAATACATTTTGAATGACCGTTTATGATGGGCATTGGCATGGGTACGGGTAACGAAACTGGCATCGAAACTGGCATCGAAACTGACATCAATGTTGGAGTGATTGACACGATTTCATTAGGTGGTGGTGTAGGAATATATCGTTTTACTGGAGTATGTACAGTGGAAGATAAATATGTGTATGAGTCATTTGTTTGAAGCGGCGTTGTATTTTGTGAAATAAAATATGTTGTTGAAGCAAATCTTGCTAACGGTGTTACAGCCGAGGTCGTCACAGCATAATTATTTTGAATTTTGCTATCACTGCAATTGTCTGAGGTGTTCACAATAGCACCGGGTTCCCGAAAATTTTCAGGAATTCGATAACGAGCACTTGGCGAATCTGAGCGTTGAGTATTTACGTTGTTGTATTTTTGCGAATATGATGAGTTCATAACTTTTATATTTGATGAGTTATAGCACATAGAAGGACAAATGTTGCTAGAAGGCAATGTCTTTTGTCCAACATATTTTTGTTGTAACTCGTGTTGTTTTTGCGTTAAAATATCTGCAACTTGAACATTTTCAGGCGGTTCGGAATCATACTGAGACTGCGACGGGAAAATTTGTTGACTATCAATACCACTGTTGTTACTTGGAGCCTTTATATTGGGCTTCGATGATTCTGGAACTGTTGAAAGAGTTGCTAAATTTGTCATATAGTGATCGTTGTTGGGTGCAGGAGATGGTGGAGGAAGGCAACAGTTTAAAGCATCATCGTAACGTTCAATTGAATGTTTTGTTGATTGGCGTAAAAGTAAATCAGAGGTATGGGGGCTATATCGTCCATTTGTATTTGGTGTCGTATTATTACAATCAATCACTTCTACAGGTGTACTCAGAAGTTGATTTGAGTAATTAAGAGATAGCTTGCGACGATTGTTACAAACCATTTGTTGTTGATATGGCATATCAGTCTCGATATCATTTGGTGTTCTGTTGGACGAAGGGGAATGCATATTGCCTTCAAATGCTAATTATTGTTAATTTTCAAAGTACTAAATTGAACTTGTATTAACTGCAAATAACTCGTTCGTTATAAATCGATCTGTCGCTAAATTTGAAAAATATAAAAATGGTATTTTAAATTATACTTTATTATTATGTTAAATCTAATTTACAAAGTTAAATAATTTTGTTTTTTTGTATTATAATCAGCAAATAACAACTTAATTAGTTTACCCTCTCATTGCGAATATGTGGACAAAAGCCCAGCAAAATTATTTGAATATATACCATAGATATATATATTTATGTACTTTATGACTTTGTAATAAAAATTATTTTGCAATTTCTTTTCTTTTAAACAATTCTTTTGAGAAATTGGTATTCTAATTGGTTTCTAATGGTTTTTTATATACATATTTGTTATGTATCTTTGCATTGAGCTTTTTAGTACTCCAACTAAATAAATCATTAGTTTTGATTTAAATTCGGTTAAATATATGTATGTTATTTGTTTGAATCATTCGAATTTTTTTCGATTTAAATAGGTATTACAAGGGTGTTAATTTACCATAATAAAACAAACTATTTTTAATAATCATGTAATATAATTTACAAAACACGAATCACTTCCTTACAAGCGAACCGAGTACGTTTCAGTGGTCACTGAACATTGTAGTACTAGAGTAGACTTATTTCGCGAACTTTTATTTAATTTCCCATATATTTTGTATAATGTTATTCAAGAAAAATGGTTTTTCTATCTAAAAACGAGCTTATATCACACATCAGTGAATTAATGTAATATAAACGTCAAAAATGCCAATTTTCAATTTTGTAGCCTAGTACATATAGCAAATTTAATTCATATTTTTAAGGGATGTTTTTTGTATAACAAGAGATACTATGAACCAAAGAATATCCTTTGCTATGAACTTTGTGCCAGAAACACTGAAGCTACACCCCCAAATGAAATCAGTTTGTATAACAGTTTTCACACAGTTTTGTCAGCTTTCAAGATTTAAGTATTCAAACAGTTTTGTGGTGATTGACAGGAAATACACAAAATAATCGAAAATATTAAGTTGGATTTTAATAATGTTAGAAATTAGCTATTCTAAACAACTTTTTTGATAACGTTATATGTCAAATATATATTTATGGGTTTTTAAATATGAGAAACCACCAACAAGTGAATGCGCCAGATGACTAGTCGTTACCAGTTGTTTGTATAAAAAACGTAACTATTGCTGATTCTAGTTGCCGTTAGATGGTGTGTGTAGCGTTTTTTTTATTAGTGGTGTAATCAATGTTAGCTATATTGTTATATAGATTATTGAAAACGCTTGCTCCTATTAAGTGATTACTGTAATCTATTGCTAAATAGCAAAGCTCAGGAAGTCGAAAGTGAGCTCAATACCTAAATCAAAGTGCGAGTTAATATTCTGTTGAACATGTTTTTAGACTTTCTTATAATTAATTAATTAATTTATTTATGTATTTGAATTTATTAGTAAATGAAATGTTTATACGAGTATGATTTTAACGGACGACAAGAAATTGTGCGACATATCTCCAGTGCACAATCACAATAGACTGATTTTTTAATTTGGGTGCACTATAACTTAAGACTTAAAATTTTTGCGAATAAAACCTAACTCTGAACATTTTAAGAGCATTGTTGTTGCTTCAATGTTTTTGTTTGTAAGTTGCGAGTATTTTTTTGTTACGCTAAGAGAAAGAATTACGGCTAATATAAGATAAAAATGCTTACCATTGCACTTCTAATATTAATGTTGTTTTCTTTTATTTGAGGTCATTAATTTTAAGTGTTTACAATTTTTACATTTCATATTGCACACAATACAACAAAAAATATTTGTCAAAAAAACATTTAAGATAAGGCGGTGGCTCGCAAGTGTGCATCACTGTTGCAATCTGTCAAGTGCTATGTTTTAGCAAATAGCAAATCTTGCATATACATATGCACATAATGCAAGCAAATTACATTTTATATAAAAATAAATATTTATATAAATTAAAAATTAAAATAAATACACAATTAAAAAGAAAGGTAAAATGTTGAAAATTTCAAAATAAAACCATATAATTTTTTTCTAAGGTTAATTTTTTCTTGCCGATAATGGTGTGTCTTTTTATGACTAAAGAAACTATTTAAAAGTTAGACGGATTCGAATAGCAAAGAAAGGACAAACACAAAATTTTTTTATTTTTAATTTATTGAAATTTGGCTGACCATACAACGCTGTTTCGAGTATTGCCAAGTACTCTTCATCAGTGGTCTTTGGAAATAGTTTATAGTCCGTATATAAATTGTTCAGACTGCAAGTGCCAGGCTTAGAACTCGTGCCTGTCAAAAATATGCATAACAGATGTCTCTACAAAAAGAATAGCTTTGAAGCAAAAATAGGTAAGCTCAAAGATTAACTTGAAAGTCGTTGAACTTGTGTTTCCAAATAAAGCTGTAGTTTATAAGCTCGTTCTAATTTAAAGCACGGCAAGTGCTTTGGTTGGTGTCACTAATTAAATAAAAATAAGAGACAAAAGCAGGAATTTGAGCATTGAAAGTTTGTGCAGCCTTGGCTATTTGTGGATAAACACGATTAGTTATTGCTTCTAATTTGACAGGCATATGTTCTAAGCCTGGCACTTGCAGTCCAAACAAATTATATACGGACTATAAACTAATTAAATAAAAATTCGATTATTTCCAAAGACCACTGATGAAGAGTACTGGGCAATACTCGAAACAGCGTTGTATGGTCAGCCAAATTTCAATAAATTAAAAATAAAAAATTTTTGTCTTTGTCCTTTCTTTGCTATTCGAATCCGTCTATAATTTTTTTCTTTTTTCTTATTTTCAATATAATTTTATTTTTAATTTTGTTTGAATTTTTCTTTACATATGATTTTTGACATATGATTACAATAATGGTTGGAATTTCCAATCAATGTTCAAAATAGTTCGCATTTTGTGTTGGTAACACTTTTCTCTTTACTGATCGAAGTCTGTGGCTAATATATAACTACAGTCCTAGATAGAGAAAATAGTGTTGTATAGACCAACAACTTGCTTCTTTTTCCCATACTTGCGAGCCACCGAAAACGCTTAATGATTTATACTCTGCTCATATAATACTCATAAACGCCGACATTCGACACGAAAATGATGCAAATGTTTTATGAATCATTTATGAGTATTACGTCACATTCGTGAAAAATTTGTTTATTGTGCCTATATTCGTTTAATACGGAAACCTGTGTAACAAATATGTAAACATTTAAAAACTTATATGATTTTAAGACTTTATTGTATAAGAGAAACTAATTATGAGTTGCAATTTTATTTTTTAATCTAATTATTACTAAAATTAATCAAAGAAAAGCATAATTATGTATTAAATGGTATAAGCATTCCAGGAATTATTTTCCTCAAAATTGCTTAACAATAATATTAGGTCTTTTCTTTTGCAAACATGTCGCAAAAGAACAAATAAAATAAGCACTATTTTCAATGGCAACTCTGGACGAATGGAGATTTTGTTCGGCTTATGTCTGCAAAACACGTAATAAAATTTAATGTTAAAATCTCGATAATGAATAATAATTCTTTGCAATTATCGATGAAAATATTTTGGAAGTTTCGTATGTACTTTCAAACATCGTTCACAATAGACGAATTTTTAGTGTTGGTAACCATGTGAGTTGAGCTACTTATTAAAAAGTAAAAATTTTATTAAAATTATTTTTTGTTCTAACTTACAACTATTTATTTTTCTGCACCTGATTTTTTTAAAAAAAAAAGTAGTATATTAACCTGAAATAAAAGTAAATATAATTTCCACCTGTAACAACCCCTATTTTAATGCACAAGAAATATTCAAGAACACAAAAAAAACACATGCATTTAGAATGCTAACAACAACAATACACACCAAAAGCATAAAACTAGACGCAGAAATTTTTTGCTTAGCAAACAACAGCGCTCGCACTAAATTTCATACAGAACTCACACGAGTCATCAAGTTATTCTTACTCACCTGAGTATATGCTATGATTCATGAATCATACGTATTATTGTGAAGCTGATTTGTAAGCACCGGCATTCGTTAACGAACATGCTTATGAATTATTTCTGTGGCAAATGTGAATGTGTATAAATAGTATGGAAGAGAAACATTTATACGCATTTAGATTTGGTTTTTTATGAGTACACTCTGAGTGTTAAAATTATGACTCGTTGCAGTTCACTGGTGCGGATCAATAGAATTTGGAAGTAAAATAATTTGTGATAATTATTGACGACAAATAACGCTATTGCCATGTCTACTTTATAAAACAAAAAACCGATGTATTAACCAACGACCATGGGAATAAAGGACATGGGAATAGTTAGCAATTGCTTTGGCATCGAGTTCCATCAAAATTTAAGCATGCATTATATTTTTCTTTTACAAGAGAAGTATGCAAAAAGCATCATTGAATGGTTTTATATGAGAGACTCTAAATCACTGAAGACCTTCATAGCACTAAACACGAATTTAACAAAACCACCAAAAATCGATGAAAATGTTATGAAAATATATCCTCATCAAAGTTTGATAGAAGCATTAAGGTATGAATCTGTTACAATTCGACCAGAGATTGCATTTGTTGTAACCTTTCTTAGTTTAATTCCTATTATAACGTGGAGCAGTAATACGAATCCTGAAATAAGTTAAAGGTTCTAGCAACCATGGTCTATTGTATGGTCTTGTTGACGATGACTAGGGCGTACAGTAAGTAACGCATAGTAGCGTTTTTAAGCACTGAATCAGAATATATGGCCATATCTGAGACCACAAAAGAATTGAAATCTTTAATTTCAATTGTGCACAGACAAAGCTTATTGACGTCGGTTATCATTGTATTCGCAGCAAGATTAACGACGGCACTGCTGAAATCAAATATATACCAACAGAAGAAATACATGCAGACGTTCTTAGCAAAGGACTTACTACAGAAAATCATGTTATTTGCTTACGGAAATTGGGAATGAAATATTAAAATCATGTTTTATATATAATAAAAGTACTCCCACTTAGGTGTTGTTATGTGAAATACTTTTCGTATTAATATTAACTGGCAACTCTGACCGTAAGTTAAGTTGTGGCGGCTATATAACATCCCTGACATATCGAACATCCAAATGTAGATTGCGAACGTTGTTATAAGAAGTAAAAAATGTGGTAAATGTGTAGAAAAAAGGCAAAAAGCGACGTATCATCATTAGTATTAACAGACATTATAAATTTGTGTAGATTAGTGTTTCTGAATAATAAAAATTTAGAGTTTAAGAATCAAATCACGAGCGTTTTAATGAACACACATTTTCCACATAATTGGTGACCCCGCCTAAACACGTATAATGAACAACAAGGCAACCGAACAGCCGCAACAAACAAAACACACAGCTAGTGCGGACACACTAGGTAACATGACGATAGCAGCGTCTTAAAAACTGGCGAGAGTTTCAGTGATGATTCCACCCTTCTGGCAGGTCCGCGCAAATTGAATCACAATTTATGAATGCTGCAATAACATGCGAAATTACGAAATTCCACAAAATTGTGTCAGCGTTGGACAGCAACATTTTGTCAAAAGTTAGCGATATTATTCTGAACCCACCAGCCGTAGATGGCTACACAGTTCTTAAAGCCTGACTTATCGCAGCAGAAAATACTAAAGAAATTATTGCAAGACATCGAGCTAGGGGACAGACGGCCATCACAATTGCTCCGTGAAATGTGTAGTTTGGCCGGCAAACAAACTGGCGACGCAATGTTGAGTAATTAGACAAGATTGCACTTCTAACTGACAAAGTGGCAGAAGCAAATCATTTGTTCAATAAATGATATTCATACAAGCAGGCCAGATAAACGCGACACAACCGAAGTTGACATTTGATATAGGCTTAAGAAGGCCATTTACATGGACGTTTATTATAGCCTACGTATCGAAACTTATAGTAGGCGCAGACTTTCTTTCACATTTTGATATTTCTGTTAATTTACACAGGCGAAAACTAATTGACTAGAGAACATAGTTAACCAGTTCGTGCATGCTGATAAAAATCAATGATCCATGTGTAAATTATCAACAATCAACAGTAATGACCTTTTTCTCGAAATTTTACATGAATTTGATAGCATAGTTCGTCCTACAAATGTCCCGATTAAAATAATACCAGATATTACTCATCATATTGTAACTAAAGGTCCTCCGGTTTACGCAAAGCTACGTAAACAGTGAAAGCAGAAATCTAATTCTTCTTAGATGTTGGTATCTGTCGACCATCTCGAACTCCATGAGCAAGTCCGCTACATATGGTTAAGAGAAGAATGGCGAGTGGCGTCCGTGTGGTGCTTATCGTAAGCTAAATAGTGTCACAGAGCCAGACCGATATCCTATACCGCATATACATGACTTCACTCACACCCTCAGCGGATGCGAGATATTCTCTATAATTGATTTACGCAGAGCGTAACATCAAATTCCAGTTGAAAACTCTAATATACCAAAGACTGCCATAACGATTCCATTTGGCATGTTCGAATTTATGTTCATGACTTTTGGTCTTAGAAATGCGAGTCAAACTTTTCAGCGCTTCATGGATCAGATTTTGAGAGATATGACATGGGCATATCTGAATGACATGTTGATACCTTCAAAAAACGCTGACGAGTATCGTTCGCACTTAAGAAAAGTTTTCGCCAAACTACAAGAGAACGGCATAATCATACAGCCATCGAAATATGTGTTCGGAAAACCGGAAGTAGAATATCTGGGTTTTACGGTTAGCAAAGACGGTGTTAAATTGCCAGATAGAAAATGCGACCTCAAACGCTTCTTGCGTATGGTGAATTTCTTCCGAACATTCCTGCCTCATGCCGCCTAGCAACAGGCTATACTTTCAAAAATACTAAATGTCAGTAAAAAAAAAGACACGACAAAAATTGCCTGGTCGGATGAGTCGCGAAAGGCTTTCGAAAAATGCAAGGAACAACTAGCTGAAGCAGCACTGTTGGCTTTCCCGAAAACTGAAGCACCACTGGCAGTAGCGGTTGACGCATCAAACATACCAACAAGTGCAGTTCAGCAGCAGCTAACAAACAACAACTGGCAGCTACTGGGATTCTATTCCGAACGATTAAAAGGCGCCCAAGCAAAGTATAGCACCTATGACAGGAAGTTACTAAGTGCTTACAGAGCCGTTATATAAGCATATGTTAGAAGGGCGTCAGCTCTCGATTCTGACCGACTACAAACCCCTATTATATATGTTCGAACAAAGCTTAGAAAAGGCGTCTCCCAGACAAGCTCGTCAGCTCATCTATATCGGACAATTTACGTCGGACCTAAGATATTTGCCGGGAAATCTAAATCTTGTCGCAGATGCTATGTCACGAATCGACGCTATTCATGCAAGCAACACAATTGATTATGCTGAACTAGCTCTACAGCAGGACGAAGACGAGGAGCATAAATCATTTCTTAGACCAGATTTCGTGTCACAGCTAAAGTCATTCAATATTCCTGAGCGATACATGCATTTGTGACTAAAAGCTTACGTAAAATTTTCTTCGACCAGCTACATAACATCAATTATCCCGGAATTGAAGCTACTAAGAAGCTGATGGCTGAAAGATTCGGTTGGCTTGACATTAAGAAAGACTGTAATACCTGGGCTAAAGCGTGCATTCCATGCCAAAGATCGAAAACGTATCGAAATAATCAAGCACCAATCGCAGAGTTTGTGAGCATATCAACATCGATTTTGTCTGACCTCTACCCATGTGCAAAGGTTTTCGTTACTGCTTGACGATGACAGATCGATACACACCATGGACGGAAGTTTGTCCTCTTCAAGACATAACCGCACAAACAGTAGCTCATGCATTTTACAGCAATTGGGTAGCAAGATTTGGTATACCGTTACGAGTCATTACAGACCAAGGTCGTCAATTCGAATCATCATTGTTTAACGAATTGACAAAAAATCTTAGGCATTCGACACTTGCGGACTACAGCGTACTATCCGGCATCCAACGGCATCATAGAATGATTTCATCGCTCACTTAAAAGCGTCATAAAATGCTATCAAACTTATAATTAGGTCGATGCATTAGCGCTAATTTTATAAGGTTTTCGAAATGATATTAAAGAAGACATTGGCGTATCTCCAGCTCAGTTAAGCTTCGGCTGCAGTTTACGACTACCAGGTGAATTCCTCGTTACTAAACAAGGTGATAAAATACTGCAAAGCAATGATGTTACCGAATTTTTGAACCGAATGAAGGATCTGCAACCAACAAGTACGTCCAATCATTCTTTGAAAAACATTTGTTCACATCATCTTTTGTGTTTGTTAAGAACTGAATAGTTCGCAAACCATTGCAACCGCCATACGAAGGTCCGTATCCAGTGCTTGAGAGAAGCGAAAAATTTTTAAAGATCGATGTAGATGGCCAAAAAAGCAACATCAGCGTTGACCGGTTGAAAGCAGCTTTCATATTTAACGATTCGCAGGGCACCGTGACTGACAACGTTGATCGAGTAAACGATAAACCGAACAACAGTCCTGCCGACAACAAGGACATGGACAATGGCAAGACCAAAAGGTTGACGAAAGACTATATATCCAGGTATGGTTGAAGAGTACATTTCTCACTCAACCGTAAGGGGGATTGATGTGGCGGCCATATAACATCCCTGACATGTCGAACAACCAAATGTAGAATACGAACGTTGTTATGAAAAGTAAAAATGTGGTAATAGAAAAAAGGCAAAAAGCGACGCATCATCATTAGTGCCAACAGACATTATAAATTTGTGTAGATTAGTGTTTCTGAATAATAAAACTTTAGAGTTTAAGAATCAAATCACGAGCGTTTTAATGGACACACATTCTCCGCAATGTCATTTTATCAAAAAGAACTGTCATTTCTGTTGCCTTCATTCATTGTGGGTGTTAACTTATAAAAATAATTTATTTCAATTATCGGACACTCTTTATTTTTATTTATCATTTTTTTTCAAATGATAATGATCTTCCCAGGGCTTGCTCCCTCTAAAATAATTTTCCGGTAGATGTGGCTGTTTATTTTTACTCCGCAGCCGATGAACACGAGCGCCATCGGTGGCGCATCCTTTCTGGTAGCCATTCGTATGTTTAAATTTTCAGCTGATCTCTTTGGCAAGCACACTCGATCATCTTCCTTGTTTTTGTTAAGCTCAATTACGAATAGTGACTCTTCAGAAAAAACCAAATTTGAAGATCATGCACTTTATTGAACTCATTTTTTAAAATGCATTTGTGGCGAACTCGTCACACATACTGTAGCGCCCTCTGTGTGTGAATGCACACGCACTCGCGCCATCTGTGAGCAAAAGGACTATTTCCAAGCAGCAGCTAACTTCAGTGGCTGGCAACTGGCTTCCTTCTTCTTCCTTTTTTTTGCACGTGTTGATAACACAACGTTTTTATCGTCTTATAAATATTTATTTGTATTTAAAATAAAGTGTGTGGCAAAAAGCCACATAATTGGTGACCCCAACTCAAATTAAACATATAATTGGAAGTAGCGCAAGTTATTCATTTATTTTATAGAGTCAAAACAAACTTACACAATGTTGGGTGACGCAAAGCAGAACAAAGAAGCAGAAACGTCTAATGCCGACAAAGAAACAACATCAAAGTCAGCAGCAGCAGACACGAATTTCACAACAGTAAAAAACGATATTGATGCAGTGAAGTTAACAAATTTGCCTTCATTTTTGCAAACTGACCCGGAGTTATGGTTTACTCAAGTGGACGGATTACTACACATCAATCGAATCACCTCTGACCTATCCAAATTCTAAACGGTAATCACAGCACTAGACGGCGAAACGCTTCGTCAAGTTTCAGACATAGCAAAAAATCCGCCAGCTACGGGCAAATATGAAACGTTGAAAAATGAATTAATTTTACGATTTGGGGAGTCGCGTCAGAAACAATTGATTAAATTGCTAACGGATTTAGACGTGTCTAACAAGCGTCCAACGCAGTTGCTTCGAGAGATGAGAGATCTGGCAGCGTCAAATATGTCTGAAGACGCCTTGTCAGCACTTTGGTTGCAGCGATTGCCTAGCAACATTCGTTGCATCTTATCTGCGTGCAGCTCCAAGGATGTTAATCAAATGGCCGAATTGGCAGATAGAATAACTGACAATATTCCCACTCCGCATTATGTTATGGCCACCGCATCTGCAATTAACCGACGCAGTAACACAGAGGAATCAACATTGGAGGCGCGTGTGACAGCGTTAGAAATATCACTGCAACAAGTGGTAAGTAAACTAAGTGAAATAGCAATAGAGCTCAGTCGACCAGGAAACTCACAGGGGCGAAGCAGGGCTCGCAGTTCTAGCAGAACTCAGTTTAAAAGTCAGCGCGACGATCGAAAAGTCTGTTATTATCACATTAAATTTGGAACAGCTGCAACCAAATGCTTAAAGCCATGCGAGTTCGGCGGCCAAACAACTAATATCAAACAAAAGGAAAAACTAAAATTGTTGTCGTCCACAAGTGCAGTAAACGATAACGTCCGGGAACACTGCACTGAAGAAGCTCGTTTACATGTGATTGATCGTATCTCAAATATGAAGTTTCCGATTGACACCGGATCGGCTGTATCCATTATTCCTTAAACAGCAATCACTGACGCATCTATAGTCTGTTATCAAATAGTCACTGATGGTCAGCCAGTGCATGAAAGGTCAGGCCGTTATTCAACGAAAAAATTAAAAGCAATGCGCGAAGAATTTTCAACGCTGTTGGAGCAAGGAATTATTCGTCCGTCAAACAGTCCGTGGTCGAGTCCAATTCACCTGGTCAAAAAGAAAACGGGTGCCTGGAGAGCCTGCGGTGATTTCAGAAAGCTAAATGCCCAAACCAAACCAGATAGGTACCCAAAACCATACCTAGATCAAGTGACGGAAAAACTACATGCTAGCAAATTATTTTCAAAGATTGATATACACAGAGCGTACTATAACATACCGATGCAAGCTGATGACATATGAAAACCACAGTAAGTACACCCATTGGGTTATTTGAATTTGTAGTCATGCCGTTTGGTCTTAAAAACGCTACGCAAAGATATATGGATTCATTCTTCAGGAAAATGCCATTTGTCTTCTGCTACCTTGACGATATTTTAATATTCTCAGAAAGTGAACAGCAGCATTTGGAACATGTAGAAAAAGTACTAAAAACACTAAATAAGGCCAAGCTTGTCATAAACACCGCTAAGTGCGAGTTCGGAGTTTCACAACTAAGTTTTTTAGGGTATGATGTATCAGTCGATGGTATCAGCCCGCCTGCAGAACGAGTGATAGTAATTAATGAATACACGAAGCCAAAGACAGTAAAAGAAGTTCGTCGTTTTTTGGGAATCCTAAATTATTACCGCAAGTGCATTCCACAGGCAGCTAAATTGCAAGCACCCTTAAATGAGCTATTAAAAAATTCAAAAAAGAACGACAACACGCCTATAACATGGACTGCTACGTTAGATACAGCATTTGAAAACTGTGAAACAAGCGTAACCGCGTTACCTAAATTAACATTTTTGTCTCCATTAAGTGCAATTCGATTGACATCGGATGCATCAAGCAACGCAGTTGGTGCAGTACTGGAACAGCAAGAAGGTGATGTTTGGCGACCGGTTGCGTTTTTCTCTTCGAAGCTCAAGGCAGCGCAGAAGAATTGCAGCACGTACGACAGAGAGTTGCTAGCTATATATTTAGCCATCAAAAATTTTAGACATTTACTGAAAGGTAGAAATTTTACAATTCAAACAGATCACAAACCGCTCATTTATGCATTCCAACAAAAGTCAGATAAAGTTTCACCACGTTAACTACGATAACTGAGTTTTATTGCAGAGTTTACAACAAACATATCATACATAGATGGTAATGACAACATAGTGGCTGATAGTTTATCCAGAATTGATGCTATTAATATGCCGACGGTTATAGATCTCGAGATGATTAGCAACCATCAGAAAATAGATGAAGAGCTTAAGCAACTATTAGATTCAGATTCAGCACTTCACTTACAAAAACTTTTTTTACAACCCGATATGTCAACCTTTTGTGATGTATCAACAGGAATCATCAGACCATATATTCCATCATCACTTCGGAAGAAAACATTTGACACAGTGCACTCCTTAGCACATGCTGGTACTAAGTGAACGACGCAAACGAAGAAGCAAGTAACCTTTAATGTGAAAGATCCTTTAGAGTAGCAGGTTACAATCAATAGGTAACAAACCAGACCACCGGCCCAGCTATTAAGGGGGGAGTACTGTGGCGAACTCGCCACACATACTGTAGCGCCCTTTGTGTGTGAATGCACACGCACTCGCGCCATCTGTGGGCGAAAGGACCATTTTCAAGCAGAAGCTAACTTCAGTGGCTGGCGACTGGCTTCCTTCTTCTTCCTTTTTTTTGCACGTGTTGATAACACAACGTTTTTATCGTCTTATAAATATTTATTTGTATTTAAAATAAAGTGTGTGGCAAAAAGCCACACATTCTTTCCTGCGATACGTTCAGCTCCTCTGCCATTTGATTAATGAATCATTTGTGGTGTTGTTACTGTTTTCTTTTTGGTGCACTTCCTGGGGATCGGGCAACTCTCCTAGTATAACAATATCGAGCTATGGTATGACAAATGGTTTATGCACATTTAGCTGTGGGACGGCTCGAATGATTGCCACTTGTTTTTTCAGCCAAATATAAACCAATCACACACAACTCTATCACATACAACTTTTTTTTTGCAACATAAATCACATACAACTTACAACAACAATACTTAATACAACAATAATACAACAATACTTATACAACTGTAATAATTGATTTTTGTTTTAATTTTTGAGTCATTACTTCGAAATTGTTTAAATGCGGTTATATTTGTTTTTTAAAATATATTAACTTTTATTTCGAAAGTTTTTTTTTTTTTTTCGAAATAATAGTTAATATATTTTAAAAAACAAAAATAACCGCATATAATAATTGAATTGTAATAATATATATAATAGTAATATATATAATATTATAATATAATTAAAATTTGAAGTTTTCTAAAGGACTCGTTTCATTTATAAAAGATATTATGGTTTTGAATATATAAAAAAACACTTACATTTTTATGAAATTTATATTTTTTATTTATATTAAATCTTATTATTAAAAGCTATATTGAGAAACAATTACAAATATCTTGGCAACACTTTTACCTCGCGGCATACTATTTGTGAACACTGTCATACTAAGTTCTAGTTCAATTTCTTGTGGACCTTCTAGAAACCGTTTAAGCACTAGTTGAACCTCATGTCTTCCTTTAGTGATTCTAAAACGAAAACAAGAAATAAGTCAATCAGTTTTTGTGTACTTCATTGTTTAAAGAATATTTTTCTTTATTTCTAAAATGAGTCACAAGATAATTTAAATTTTATAAATACAAATGCTAGATTGATTAATCATTATGAGTATTGAAAGTTACAGTACATAATTCATGCTGTAATATAGATTCTACTAAGTGTGAACTTTAAGCATTATTAATCTATATTGCATTAAAATAGAGTAATATTATTTCAAGTTTCAATGAGTGAATAAACAACGGAAGGTGTCTGATTGCATTTAACTAAGTAAATGCCAGCGCGATACTTGTTACTATTTCCTCCAAGTCACTATTAACGCACAGCCTCATCTGTGCGTAGTAAACTAATGTGTGCATCGGTTTGGAATCCACCATTTAAAAATACCTTTCAATGACAACGATGAGTCACCTTCGGATAATGTAACCGTTTACATACAAATGTTACAAGGAACATGATTTGAAAATTTATACGTGAAGTGTTTGAGTTCTTCACAGAGAAAGTGCATTTATACAGCTGGTTAATGAACTCAAGAAATATAAGGCTGACATTACCACCCTCTGGGAAATGCAATGGACGGGAGAAGGATGCTCTAAACGAGAACATTGTGACATCTACTACAGCTGTCATGCAACAAAGCATGAATTCAGAGTTGGATTTGCGGTAAGCCGAAGGTTGAAAAATTTAAAATTTAATTTACATCACTCTAATTTATGCACATGCCCTGACGGAAGATAAAGATGACGAAACCAAGGAAACTTCCCATGAACAACTTAAACAAGGATATGAACGCTGTCCCCATCATGACATCAAAATTGTTATAGGAGACTTCAATAACAAAGCTAAGTAAAGAAGACATCTTTGTTGATACTGTCAGAAAGTTTAGCCTTCATACAAAAACCACAGCTACAAAACATGGTGGTTAGTAGAATCAGATTCCATCAACTCAACATAGGTTGCGACGGGCGCTGCTAAAGAACGATATCGATAAAAGAAAAGAGAAGGAAAACTTTTCAGGCGAAAGAAGAAAAAGCCGAAAGACGTGAGCACGAAGAACTTGCAAACGAAGAGCTCGAAAAACTGGACGAAACAGTTATTGGTGCATGCCGACAAATGGTACACCCATTTATGGTCGGTAGTGGTCCAATTAAGCCGACTTGGATTACTGCGAACCGTTGATCTGACAGTATAAAGCTGCAAATTGCTATTTCGTTGTGCCTGATGACCTTTGCATGTTAGCATAGAATGCTAGTTCGTACCATTTGGGCAATGTCTTGCTTCATATTTGTTTATACTTATCACCTACTAATTAGCTTGATGGTAACCTTTCTGCTTTGATGCGCGTGGCAATGTTCGGCATAGAAAATGTGCTGTCGAAATAATTTGGTGTGAATGGGCGCGCTTTCTTCGTTGACATGCCATTGGCAATTTATGTTGTTAAGCCTGGCATAAACACGGCTTTGAATTGTCATACAGTATCATTGTTTGTTAAGAAATTGTTGGTCACGATATCTGATTTTTAGTTTTCAACCATAAACTCGAAATTGATTTCTCCTGATAGCTTCGATGCGAGATAGTAACTATGACACTATGTTTCCTTTTTCTGAGATATGACGAATGTCCGGTATAAATTAGTCAACAAAGACAAGATGACGAAGTTGACATGGAGATGCTTTGTCTGATTTTTGAAGTAACGCAAATGTGATTGGCTTATGATTGGTTAAAACAATACATCGTTTTCCTTCTAAAACATGCTTCAAATGTTTTTCCGACTGATATGGAACTAGAAGTTTGCGATTGTCTGTCATATCTACCATTCGCTTGGAATAATTCCTACATCACCGCTGTGTTGAAGAGAAATAGTCGATGATCTTTTAGGTCGGAGGATTGACAACGTCTTTGCTGACGCGATGACCTAGGAACGTCACTTAATCATTTCTAAAACACATTTACTCATATTGCGTTTGAATCCGTGTCGCTGTACGCTTTGGAACACCGTAGCGACGTGCTGATAGTGTTCTTCACTGCTAGACGCGGTTTAAACATTGTCGATATAGCAGGTGGCAAACTCTAAAACCGGAGGAACCTGATCCATATAACGTGAGAACATCTATATCGCATTGCATAATCCGAATGTCATCGTGTTCAATTTGTTAAGACCGAATGAGGTTATAATTGCGGTTTCTCGTTTGGCTCTCAATTATTAATTTGTTAGCAACGTCGATCAGTAAGTTAAAACTTTTTAGGAAGTCG